AAATTAATGAAATATCATAATTACAAAGAGTAAAATATCTTTTACAAAATAAAGTAAAAAAAAATAATAAAAGAACATAGAAATAAATTTACCTGAAAATCAATATAAAATTCCAAAATCCAATATAAATTTAAACATAACTTTATTTTTAGAACGATGTATGGTGAATGATGACCATAGTGTGTGTGTGTTTGGTTTGTTTACCCTCGCCACCGGAATGAACCATATGGGCGAGCACATACTTCATTTAAAACTTGCTTAATTTATATGGAAACTAATTTAATTTGTCTACAGTTTTATCGGTACATGTGTTTACGTGTGTGCCATAATTCCTACCACAAGTTCGTATAAAAGTACGTAACCCATGATAGGAATAAGATGGGATTGCTCCCATACTAAGTTAAAATGACGTGTATTTAAAAAAAATGAACAACATATTTAAATTACCTAAGGTTAAAAGGGCCGAGACGTTTATAAAAAGCACCGTCTCTTATAACAGGTCAACTATTATAATATTCCATGATTAAAATGATAGAGAGAAAGTCTTGTTAAAGCAATGTCAGGAACGCATTTTCCCAATTCAATGTGGTTAGTCATTTAAAGGCCTGATTTGATCAGATACATACACAAAGGAGTGTCAGAATATTAAAAAACAAGTTTGTTTTAGTGTGGAAAAGATAGAATTTAATAGTTTTCTAGTATATTTCACCCGAACACCTGCTTAGTTAAAGATGTTCTTATTGGTCTAAAAGTGATTGCCTCCTTTGTTCTCATTGGCCGAAATTTCTTTGTTTACAAAATAAGGAGGTCAATCCGATTTTGTGATATTTTGCAAATTTTCTTAATTTTCGGATTGACCTATATCGACAAGTTTGTCGCGCGAACGGGATAGAGATTTAGCAGGTGCCCTTAACACTCCATTGTATAGTATCTGTACAACTATTAATAAATAAGAATAAAACAACAAAAAACTTGTAAAATAACAATTGTTTTAAATCAATGGTCTAATCTTGATTAGAAAATTCCCAAAATATGGCTATTAAGTAATATCTTTGTTACCCTTAATGTGATGAAGTGACCTTTTTTAACAAATATAAGGCCACTTCATACTTGAGTGTATGCGTATAACTTATGCTCCATATGGGGGAACACATACACTTTTATGTTTTATATACAGGACAAAGAGAAGAAGTAAAAATAAACACAGGGCGGGGGAGTAAGGATATTTACAATATATGGAGTCTTTTAACATTAAGGGTAACGGTAGCCTTCCTTCCCAATTTTGTTCGACCACTTGATTTACATTTTAAAACAATATCTGGCATGTAGACCCAATTAAGATAAATTGATTAAAATTTATAATATCACAATGTACTTCCGTTTCACGGCCACTTCCTAGGGCCACAGTTAAAATATATAAATATTAAGACTATGTAATATACATATTTACAATTAAAAGTATAAGTCTACATGCCTAGACAACATTTAAAACTAAAAGAGTTAAGTGTAGATTTGCAACACCGTCCGCGTCCGTCCGCGAAATGAGGATTCGAAATACAACTTGGTTAATAAGTAAATATTTGCTCAATCATAGCAGTAATAGAAATTCTACTGGCAACCTCACAGGATATTGTATATCACATTTTACCCAGTGAGTCTAACCATCCCACTGAAAGTAAAACTCCATCCCGATAAAGGCGAAGGATAGATGTTAACCAGCAGCAAAACTAAATACTTATTGAGCAGTTTCTTTCTAGATAGAGAACAATATCATTAAAAGTTATAAAGGTCAAAAATGACAAATACGTGCATCCATTACAACCTATACAAATTAATGGTTAATTAATTACATAAATTAGTTACATTCCTCCTGCCACCCCCGTATAGACGACCTGGATCTTTTGTTTAATTATATGGCAAGCCGAAATCAGAACCGGACCAACGTACCAACAACGACATGAGAGGTCATTTATTAATTTAGAAAAACGAAAAAGTTCCGAATATCATTAACTAAAAACTCGAAAAAACCATTTGAGCCGTGTCACGACAAAACCAACTCAATGTTGGTCCCGCCACGACACGGCTCATTTTAATATACTGTGACCAATCATATTGTCCCATTTATACAATTTTATTGAGTACTTTGTTTTGATTGGTTACTAGCCAACAAGTGGGCGTGGTCATATATGAAATTTAGAGGAGTTAAACTGCATGTACACCTGTTTATAAACGTATTTTTTAAACTATAAAGACCTATTTCTTAGGTTTAAAGTTTTTACTATATGCATAGTGAAAATCAATGACCCAAGGTGGGGCCATTTTTGACTCCAGGGCTATAATTTGAACAATCTTGGTAGAGGTCTACAAGACATTGCCTTATGCAAAATATCTAACCTCTAGCCTTTGTCAATTCAGAGAAGAAGAATTTTAAAGATTTTACTATATACATTTATGTAAAATCTATGACCCCCCTGGAAAGGGGCCAACTTTGACACTAGAGGCAAAATTTTAACAAATTTGGTAGAGGACCTATAGATGATATCATATACCAAACAGCAAAGTTATAAGCTTTGAACCTTCAGACAAGATGATATTTTAAGTTTTTACTATATATACAGAGTGAAAATCAGTGACCCCCGGGGCGGGGCCAATTTTTACCCCAGAGCTATAATTTGAACAATCTTGGTGGAGGTCAACAAGACAATGCCTTATGCAAAATGTCTAAGTTATAGGTCGTGTGGGTCTTTACAAGAAGATATTTTAACTTTATTCTTATTATTCCTATTGATTGCCATTGCAACCTGATTTCTGCATGGAATCAATTTCGAAGCCCTTTTGTTATAACTGGACTGGATGGGGAAACTGAAAATCAATATAAAATTCCAAAATCCAATATAAATTTAAACATAACTTTATTTTTAGAACGATGGATGGTGAATGATAACGATATATTTTATAATAACATAAGGTAAATTATAAAATAATTGCAAAATATGTAATTAAGTAAAACTAATATTTAATTGAAATTGTAACAATTTGATGGTAATACATTACATTCTAACAATAGGGGAAGAAGCAAAATGATATACATATACAATTCATTTAACTAGCATAAGTAACAATTTATTAATTAGCTTGGCAGTGAAAAGGTATACCGAGATCTTGGTCGATGACTAAACCCGAGCGATTGTACTTAATTAAAAAATATAAAAATTAGCCGAATTATCTTGTTTTATTGACCAAGATTAATTCATTTAAAATGTATTTAATATGCACAAAGAACAAAATAATTAATTGACTCAAAAACATATTGTTTGCAGATAATCATTAAGAATTTAGATTTTAAGAAAAATATTATAAAATAATTCTTGAAAACATAAATTCATATGTTATTATTGTATTAATGTTGAAAAATGATTGTGTTAAATGTGTCATTTGATATGCATGTCTTGAAATACGCTAGATAAGTCCCGTCGTGAGTACGTCGATCTTGCATAATCAATCTTGTTAAAGCATTTCAAATTTGAAAAGTAAAGAATTTCGAAGAGGTCCCGTACCCTCGACGGCACTTATGCATTATAAAATTATTCATTACTGAATTACACATTACATTATATTAACTATTACTGGGTAAACAGTACCTTATTGCGTAAATCCTAATAAATCCGGTGAATATTAATTCCAATTGCCTGTGAAACATGCGAATTTATTTATTTTTTTTTTATATTTATTGAATTGACCAGGTTACACATGTGTTGTCTGAACCGAATTACTGAGCGACAAGAACAATTTGCACGAGGCATTCATTCACACACAAACAAAAACCCCGTCGTAGTAGATAAAATTACTAGAGCGTGCAATAAGGCATTTTGTACTTCCCAGTATTTATGTTATATAAGGTGCTAATATATCCTCACTTGAACCCCCATTTCTTTCTTTAAAACATTAAAATGTATATTATTTTTTATATTTCTGTTTAAAAATAACTAAATGACTATTAATACTGTATTATCTTTTCAGGACTTTACAACCGGAACATATATATATATTGTAAAATATTATTTTATAAACCCCTTATGTATTTTATTAATACCTGGGTGAATAAAGATATTGAATTGAATTGAATTGTAACAAAACTTTAGCCTGATGTAATTTAACAGATTTAGTTACAATAGTTGATATATAAATAATGCATGTTATATTTAAATTCTCTATCCTTATATTTTATTTTTTTGTTACATTCTCTTTTTTTTATACTTAAGAAATATCAAGGCAAGTTGATAGAATATTTCTTATTATAGCTACACAAGTTTTATCAGCATAATGCTACTTTGTACTACAAGTACTAACTTGTACACACATTACAGTGTCATATACAATAAAACTAAGAATAATAAATGTTAAGAAATTAATGAAATATCATAATTACAAAGAGTAAAATATCTTGTACAAAATAAAGTAAAAAAAAAATAATAAAAGAACATAGAAATAAATTTACCTGAAAATCAATATAAAATTCCAAAATCCAATATAAATTTAAACATAACTTTATTTTTAGAACGATGTATGGTGAATGATGACCATATTTGTGTGTGTGTTTGGTTTGTTTACCCTCGCCACCGGAATGAACCATATGGGCGAGCACATACTTCATTTAAAACTTGCTTAATTTATATGGGAACTAATTTAATTTGTCTACAGTTTTATCGGTACATGTGTTTACGTGTGTGCCATAATTCCTACCACAAGTTCGTATAAAAGTACGTAACCCATGATAGGAATAAGATGGGATTGCTCCCATACTAAGTTAAAATGACGTGTATTTAAAAAAAATTGAACAGCATATTTAAATTACCTAAGGTTAAAAGGGCCGAGACGTTTATAAAAAGCACCGTCTCTTATAACAGGTCAACTATTATAATATTCCATGATTAAAATGATAGAGAGAAAGTCTTGTTAAAGCAATGTCAGGAACGCATTTTCCCAATTCAATGTGATGACCATAGAAAAATCCACCGATTTTTATACAGAAAACTATCGAAAGCTGTGAAAAATAACAGGAAGCCATTTCCATTAACTTTGCAAACATTAGTTAACAACAAATCACCTTTTTATTATTTGTATTTGTGAAAAGTTATCACCCTGGCTTCCTTGTTTGTATATTAAACAAATTGGCTTGGGCTTAAGCCTTTGATATTAATTGAAACTAATCAATGTCACTATTAAGCAGGAAGACTTAAAATGCCATATTGTATTAAAAAATCTTTGCTTAGAGGTGTTTTTATAATATGGGAAATTTTTATATGTTAAAACAATTTTTTAAGAAAAAGCTCCTTATTGAAGTAAACTTGCAATTTACTGTAATTAATGTTTCTAACAAAAAGCTATAAAAAATATGATCATTTTGATACTAAGCATGACCATATTAACTTAAGGAAAAATATAAAAATAATTACATATTACACATACAATAAACATGAAGTTGAAATAACATGAACATAAAAATACATGGGTATAATTACAATATTAATTTATAAACTTGCATGAGAAAATTTACATTATAACACTTTACCTAATGAACAATCCTGCAAAGTTTGGCTGAAATTGGACTAGTGTTTTTTTCACAAGATTTTTTTTGAATTTTTTTTTAAGTTCACTATTTAATCTACATAACACAAACGCACGCACACACGCACATACACGCACATAAAAATGAAATTGCTACATTTCTTTATTCAATATGTTTCATATCGACACCCGTTCTTATTTTGGTGCACAAAAAAACAAAATGAGTTTTATATGCCATAAATCTACAACCTCATTATGGCAAAATCGGTAGTACAATTTCTATTTGCATGAGAAACTCCGCCTTTGGGTCTTCCATTCTCAATAGAAAATCAAAACACATTTTTAAGAAGCATTCCGAATTTAACGGTATAGTTCCGCATTATATTACAGATGTTTTCATACAAATTCAATCTTTTTATGAGATGATTACTTTTTTGTAAACGACAGGGCTAATGCACCGTGAAACTAAAACGGTAAAAGTTATGTTTGCACAAAATATATCCTATTTGCTGTGATCCAGATGGTTACAATTGATTTTACCATTGTGACGAAGCGCATACATAAGCTTATTATACAAGTCTTCATTTGCATGTTAGAATTCGTATACGAACTTAAGTGTTACCTTATAAAATCATACTTTGTGAACAATTTTTTGATGAGGTTTACAACAATACTGTTAAAATGTCAACGAAACTACGAGTATAGAATGCTTGGTTTGTTAGCCGACAGAAAAAAATGTTTACTTTTGTTTAATGTCGCTTTAAGCTAAGGTCATGAAGGTAGCGACATGAAAAGTTATGAACCAGACAAACAGTTGACGGATGGACAGATAAACCACACATACAGACGGAGGTCATTTCTACATTCCCTTTCCCGATGCTGGTCAGGTCTAAATGTAAAAAAGTCACATCTAATTACATTGAAGTTTAATTCCTTTTCTACTCGGGTCTTTGTCGCATATTCGATGCTGACAATTAAACAGATGGGGCTCATCCCCTTGACAAACAAATATCACGCATTTGTCTGGATTTCCCATGTCCTTGAGATCGTACTTCTCTTTTTGGTTACTGGAACATGTAAAAAAATAATGAAATTGTTATGTTCTTGACACATTTTCTTATTGCATTCTTTCATCCTTTCTCTTGATATTTTTCGCTCGATTTAAAGTGATTAATTACAGTAAATTGCAATATGTAAAATTTCAAAACAATTTCAGTAGAAATTTACAGAAATACTTTTACAAAATAAACTAGGAAAAAGATAAGCTATCGTAACATTATGATCGCGTTAAATATAAAAATTTCAAATGAAATACTGGAACACAGTTTTCAATACTCAGAGCAATTAATATAATTGTGATAAAATAACAAGAGTAAAAAATAAATTAAATTTGGCCTTTGTAGGAAAGATAAATCTCCACCATTTTAAGCTAAACAAATATGATATGACAATATATGAACTGTTATTCAAAACTGTTTTTGTGTGGAAATGGCTTAGTAATGTGACAATTGAATACTTCATATACATAAACCAGTTCTATTAATGACAGTGAATGGGTAAAAACAGAAAACAGACTAAATCTCAGGTATCGCCTGACGCGGGAAATCCTTTGCCTGAACAAAAAAGGACCGATATGGATCAAAGTGATCAGTTATCACCGTCAACTCTTTCTAATATAGGTAACGGTAGCTTTCTACATCAATTACAACAGCCTTACATCCCTAATATGATGGGATCTTATATACAGAGTCCAAACGCAATGCCTATGACACCGCCGCCTCAGATGCCACAGTCGCAGACGCAGCATTATAACAATCCAGTCTCACCGATTATCGACAATAAGGTAATTATGTCAAAACTTGAAGCTATTGATTTACGTTTGCGTAAACTGGACTCAATTGAGGAACAAGTGTTAAATATTAACTCTAAAATATCTTCAATGAATCATAGAATCTCATCTCTGGAATCCAAAATGTCTGATTCGAATAAAACAATACTAGAACTTGAAAAAAGCAGAACATTTGATTCACAGGTGTGCAATGAGATCAGTTCTAAACAGAAAAATATCGACAAAATTCTCTCCGATGAAAAACAAAGATGTAATAGCATGCAAGGTGAACTGCATAATTTGAAACAAAGCAACTCTAAATTAGAAGACGATATTCTGGATTTGCAAGCACGATCGATGAGGGATAATTTATTGTTCTTTAACATTCCAGAGTAAACCCTAGCTAACAACAGACGAGATGAAAACTGTTCATTAAAAATTCTCAACTTCTGTGAAAACAATTTAAAAATGTCAGATGCTAAGAAAAACATAAAATTTGATCGTGCTCATAGATTAGGGAAATTTTTGTCAAACAAAACACGCCCCATTGTAGTTAAATGCAGTTATCCCCCAGATAAAGCTTTGATAAAACATCAAGCTAGAATGTTATTGAAAAATACAGATTATCGGGTTAGTGACCAATATCCCGACAAAGTGCGAGAAAAACGAAAGGCGTTAATCCCTGACTGCTTATCAAAGCACGAGAAGAAGGCAAGGATGCAATTATTTCATTTGACCGGCTTATCATACGAGGTCAACGATCAATCTGTATTTCACCTGATGGTATGCATGAGTAGGATATAACGGAGGAACAGTTAACATTTGTCTTGTTAACATTTGTCTTGTGGAATGTCCAAGGTCTCCAAAATAAATTAGATGACAATGATTTTTTAACCTTTATAAACAGATATGACATTATTCTTTTGACTGAAACATGGACTTCTTCCAGATCGAATGTATGCATTGATGGATACCTGAATTTTCATTGTGCTAGGCCTAAAACTAACAAAAGGGCTAAACGTTTTAGTGGAGGTTTAATTGTTTATTGCAGAAGCCATTTAAGCGGAAAGATTGACCTTGTTAAATCCGATAATAGAGGTATATTGTGGTTTAAGATCAAGAGTGAATTATGTAATCTAGTCCGTGATGCGTATTTCTGTTTAGCATATATTCCTCCGGAAGAATCATCTGTTTATAAAAATGAAAATTCAATACTTTTTGAATGTGATCTATTTAGCCAAATAAGTGCCGATTTTAGTCGGTATGAAACTCAAGGTGATACGTATTGGTGCGGGGACCTGAACAGTCGAACAGGGGTAACCCCCGACTTTGTTGAAAATATAAATTTACAGAGATTTGTGGACATGCCAGAAATGCATGATGTTATGTTTCCTGTAAGGCACTCGTCTGATAAAATATGTAACCCGTTTGGTCTAAAAATACTCTCTTTGTGTACGCATTGTAAATGACCGATTAGAAAAGGGTGATTTAACATATCACTGCTGCTCTAGAAATAAAAAGGTTGCTAGCGTTGTAGATTATCTTATTGTAAATATTTTAGGTTACTGTAATTTGAATACAATGGAGGTGTTAGGTGTAAACGAATTTTCAGATCATTGTGCTGTTGAATTTTCTTTAAATTGTGATTTGTCAAGTTCAGCTAATAAAACAATCATTAAAGAAGATAAATTAGTGTGGAATAGTGATCATGTTTGTGACCTTTTGGCTTGTTTAGAGAATAATAGAAATGATTTTGACAAGATTGTATACGAAATTGATAACAAAAATATTAATATCAGTGAAGCTTTGCAAGCATTTTCGGATGGGATATATAAATGTTCATCTATGATGTTTGGTAAAACAATAACAAAAAAATGGTCTTGCTATAGCAAAAAGCGCAGAAATCGATGATTTAATGTAAGCATTATAAAACACTTTTTTTATGAATCGAGAAGAAGACTCAAAAGTGTAAACACAGGGGAAAACAGAAAACGCTTTTAGAATTAAGCAGCAAATATGATAAAATCAAACGTAAAACTAAATAAAAGTTTTTCAAGACCTAAAAAATATATTTTCTGATTTAAGTAAAAGATCATCAGAAAATTAATAAATTCCGAAATAAGAATGAGAGTACAAACTTCGATGCTCCTTTAGATGAGTTTGTTAATCATTTTGCTAACATGTCAAGAAACCCAGATATAAATGATTTAGAAGTGAATTAAGATGAAATTCATGTAGATTTTTTAGATACAAAAATCAACATAGATGAAATCTTAAAAGCGATTTCCTCATGCAATAGAAATAAAGCTGCATCAACGGATAAAATTGTGGCCGAAATTTTCATCGATGCTCAAGATTTCATTACACCATATTTAGTTAAATTATTAAACATTATTTATGATGCAGGGGTTTATCCTGATTCTTGGACCAAGGGGATAATTGTCCCAATTAACAAAAAGGGTGATAAATCCGATCCTAGTAATTACAGGGGTATTACTCTTGTGAATAGCATGGCTTAACTTTTTTTCCTTGTTTTAAGAAACAGAATAAACAAATGGTGCGAGACAGAAGATATATTTTGTGAAAATTAGTTTGGTTTCAGAGATAAAAAAAGCACAACCGATTGTATATTTCTATTACATTGTATTATCCAAAAAGTGTTACATGATAAAAAGAATTTGTATTGTGCTTTTATAGACTACGAAAAAGCCTTCGATGCAGTTAATAGAGGAGCATTATTTGTTAAATTGTTAAAAGAGGGAATTAGCAGTAAAATGGTGAATATGATAAAAGCAATATATGAAAAGTTTCGTCATGTGTTAAAAATGCTTGTAAATTTTCAGACTTTTTCGATATATCAATTGGATTGAAACAAGAAGAGCCACTTTCACCGATAATGTTTATACTCTTCATGAATGATGTATGCAAAAACATTAACCTTAATAGTTTATCAGACTATGATCTTAACCAATTATGTGTATTTATGTTGCTTTTTGCAGATGATATGGTTGTATTTTCTACCGATCCTAATACTTTACAGAATCACCTTAACTATGTTTATGAATATTCCAAACAATGGGGTCTTAAGATAAATATAAAGAAGACCAAAATTTGTATTTTTGAAAAACGTAAATCTCGAGAGCAAAGACAATTTTACATTGATGATAATGTTATTGATATTGTAGACAGTTTCTGTTATCTAGGAGTGACTTTTGTTTCAAATGGTAACATTGCTAAAACAGCAAAAATGCTTTCTGATCAGGCTTTAAAGGCAATGTATAATTTGTTAAGTCTTTTTACAAGAATACATGTCGATATTATAACGAAACTTAAATTGTTTGATTCCCTAGTTGCACCAATTTTGCTTTATTCTGCAGAAGTTTGGGGAATATATTGTCCTAAAGAGGTTGATAAGATTCACATAAAATTTTGCAAAACCATATTAGGTGTGAAATCGCAGACTCCAAATTACGCTGTTTAAGGTGAATTAGGGAGATTCCCCTTATCAGTTGCCAAGAAAAATCTCTAAAATATTACACTAAATTAAAATCAAATCCAGAGTCATTAATGTGTAAGTTATTTTCTACTGAGTGTAATAGTAATAATGATCAAAATTGGGCTCTCTCTGTAAAAAAACTATTGTATAATCTTGGTTTAAATGATATATGGGATAATTTTAATAATGATGTAAACTATTTACCTACTTTGTCACGAAGATTGAGAGATCAATTTGTCCAACATTGGCATACGACAATCAATAATTGCCGAAATTATCTTATTATGTTCAATTTAAAACTGTATTTGAATCAGAGGAATATCTTAACAAAATAAAAAGTGACAAATTAGTGAAACTGTTTGCATCCTTTAAGTTAAGCAGTCATAATCTAGCTATAGAAACCGCCCTTATCGAGGTATAGATAGACAGAATAGATTGTGTGAAAATTGTACAATGCATGTTGTTGAAAGTGAATACCACTTTCTTTTAATCTGTACTCATTATTCTGAAATTCGCAAAAAATATTTTCCAAACACAGCATGGCCATCTTTACCTAAATTTTATAGTTTAATGTCAAGTAGAAAACAGTCAACTTTACTAAATGTATCGAAATTTTTAAATGAAGCATTTTGAAAAGAAATGAAATTAATATGTAAGTTAATGCATGTCATATACTTTACTGTTTCTCCAAATCAGCTTCGCAATGATGTAACAATTGCATAACAATTATATGTAATTTGATGCATGTGTGATTTGTATATATATTGTAGTTTGTTAACCTTTGCCAGAGGCATTTTGTATGCTGATTATTGCAAATAAAATATTGAATTCAATTGAATTCAATAACTTATTACACTGATAAAAGCATGAAAAATAAAATTACTTACGACGCATGTGGAAACATTGAGCGGCAAGCGACTTTTGTTTCATCTTTTCTCCAATTATTCCCTTTATTATTGCACTTCTCAACAACAGGAAACCAGGTGCGTTCGATCTTTACCCATAAGAAATCCTTCGTATCTTCTTCGGGTGGCAGTTGAGTCTCCGATGGCAAGGCGGATGAAAGTGTTATATTTTCAAAAGGCGGACCTGTAAAAAATATCATTTTGTATTCCTTATCCTATCGCTGCTAGAACTACAATGGTATAATTGTACTACATTGATGCATAGATGAATGGACCTGGATTTTGTTCCGTCCATGCCCGTGTGTTCTATCCTATTGCTATTTCATATTTATAACCAAGAATTTTCTATCATATAGGGATATTTCTGTTGTTTTTTTTTTAATCTATGCGGAGTGTTCAAATATGAATGCATCTAGAACTTTATATTGTTCAATATTACGATAAACCCGAGGAAATGAAGGTTATCGGGTAAATACGTGCCAGATTTACAGTGTTACCACATTCATTAAAATTCAATTACCTTTACCTAGTTAATAGCTCGATGATATACATTGTCTACTCGTATACTGTAATTTTAAATTAGTTGTTAGAAATCAAGAGCATGCGATTGAAATACGGTCATGTATTTAGAACTTGGCAAAGGACGTAAAGACATTTTTAATGTAATCTGTTCTGTACATGTATATGGACAAAATTAATTAGTTTTCTTTACAACTTGCATGGGGTTCCCATATTCTAATTCTGTTCCTAAGGCAAATCTGTGAATGTGAACGAAATTTTACCAGACAAAAGTTCTTCGAAATCTAAACAAATAATTTAAAAACGATAAGCCGCAACATGTTTGATTAATGTCAGATTGCTACATTACAAGGCATCTCTAATGCAGCACGTTCTGTGTAAGAAAATATATGCTGTTATCCTCTCCAATCCTCCGTATCAAATTTACCTTGCCTCTAGTGACTTCTTTTTGTCTCAAGAGCTATAAAAGTACCTTTCAGGTCTGTTCACATAATATACCTAAAAAGACTATGAAAATACTTTCAAAGGTTGGATCAGGAAACTGAAACTTTGTTTATCTGTGAATTTAGTGAAACCTATAAAGAACCAAATTCTACGTGCTGATACGCATTTATATTCGAACACTCCTCGTATGTTATAGCTTTACTAGTCTTGGGCAATATTTTACCATTATCATCCCGAAAATAAAAATAAAAACTGTATAAGTTTGCAGTTAATACCTTTTGTGGTTAATGATATGACATAGCTTAAAATTAAACAAAATAGATCTCAATCATAAATAGTGTGTCTGGAATTGTCCTGAACGTAATTTCGTCATTGATGTTTTCAAACAAACAAAATTTTCAGACATTATCATTAACAACATTTTGAATACTTTGTATATCAAGCAAAATGTTTTCTCTGAATGTTATCTAGGTCAAATTAAAAGTATGCAATCAAGACAACAATTGACCCGTCTCAGAATATTTGCGTATAATTAAGAAAAAAAAAACATGAAAAGTATGAGTCCTTGAACGACATGAGCGACAAGTCAGCTTTATAATACGCAACATATTGAAGACAAATTTCATTTTGTACCGATTTGTAATCTGTACCAGGAAATCCGTACTAAATTCATTTAACGAGATTATTTATGAAATTTAGATTTACCTTTTATAATCATTTTCAGCAGCAATATATGTTTATGTATGTATTGTAACAAGATACTGTGTTGTATAAATAACAAAAACAGTTCTGTTTACAAAGATAAAATTTAAATGTCGATTAGAATTAAAGAAAATACTTTACCAGCACTGATATTGTATTTAAAGCAGTATAAAATCACTATCAAATTTCCACTGTCCTTCGTACCCCGGTAGTCACATTCCGCAAGTGTTTGCTCATTTCCATTACATCTTATATCGACTTTAACGATATTGCTTTGAGATAACTGTGCATGTCTATGTCTACGGATTGAACCGCCGTATCTTTAATAAACACAAAGAGACATACTGAAGTATTAGAAAAATATAGAGTAAAAGTATAATTATGGAATGTCAGCAAATATTTATCCCCACTTTCCCAAAGTAACGGGGACATAAAAGTACAAATATATTCGTACTATCATCACCATCATTTCTTTTCTCAATAGATAATTCTGTAATGAACATGGTACACGCATGGGCTACTGCTTGTCTTTAAATGAGGTAAATACCTAGAAAAATAATATAAATTAATCACGCAATTACATAATAACGAAAAACAATTAACTACGCGTCTATTTTGTCAGAAAAAAAACCCAAACATTTTAAAGCGCTTAAAGTACAAATGTAACGATATTTTTGTTGTTGTTCTATTTACTTTGACCTGTGTCAAAATAACAAACAATTAAAACCTTTAATAAAATATCAAATATTAATTTGAAATGAACACCGTATATCAATATACATCCAGACACTGTTAAAATTCTTTATCAAACTTACTCTAGCCCAAGTAGGTCTCTGCATGCAACCTGAGTGTTTTTCCAATACCATTTGTCTATAGAAACATACTTCCATGTGCCATCATGATTTGTTTCAAGAAATGCACTCACATACTTTTCTTCTGATGTTTTAATTTCAAAACGAAATCCTGTAACAAGATGCAAAACCTTATTTACTTATTCCTGAATGGCGAGTGTTCAAGCCGTTTCAATTCAATATTGGCGCATAATTATCTGGAATAAAAAATAAGATTGAATATATATCGTTAAAAGAAAATGTTTTTTCTTGTGCACATGTGTTTTTCGTCTGCTCAACTAAAATCGTCAAAGCCATTGCATGTTGTTTATTTACCTGTCTTTCTGTTTCCGAGAATGTGTTAATAGATATATATTTCGCATACAGAACTTGAAATCTTAAAAATAAGCGAACTACAAAATACTTTTATAAATTCATCACATTCATTGACGTTTTTAAGTAAAAAGTACTTTACCAACACATTTTTCAATTTCCTTGTCCCATGTAAGATCGGGCTTACACGTGGCATTACCCCCGCCTGAGGTACCTTTCGGACACTTTACGGTATTCACAGCGCCAACGGTTCGGCCATTAGAAGTACCCATTTTTGGTAAAGGGCAAACAGGTCGACCTGGTTAAAACATATTTATCACATTTACCAAATATACAAACAAAATCAATTATATTTATTTTAAAGTCAGTGGCTTATCTGTTCGCCATGTTCGCCATGTATAAAAAATAGAAAATAAAATTTTGAAAAGCCAGGATACGTGTAACATAGATTTTTATCGTTCATGCTACATAGAAATGTGTAAAACTGATTAATACCATGTCTTAATATACTTAATGACTATTCTGTTTAAAATTCTCCGTAAAGATTGTATAACAATATCTTTTTTTTATTAGATTTTCATAATCAATTATGTTTGGACAGTTATCTAAAAGAATTATAGATATTCTGTTTTCCCGACAATTAAAAATAAATAAAAAATTGATATCATCTTTTCATTAAGATGTACCCTGAGATATTAAAATCACAGAAACAGAGATTTTACGATGCATGGATACATTAATGCACATATTATGTCCATTATCTATACATTTTAAGTATACTTAAAGATGACACTGGCGACGTACCAAATTAGTTTTATCAATAATAAAATAATTGTTTAAGGCTTTATAAATTCTCGTTTAGATACAGAAAATGTGTTATAATATATATTGTTAAACTAAAGAAACCATGACATTAGGTTTAGACTGATCGCACATTGTTCAGACATACCATGCTCTACAATGCTGGCATAGGCAAATACCGACGCTTACACTCTAAATGTTTTAATTAAATTAATTAAATACAATCAGACTTAAATCACAAAGTGGCAAGTTCCAATTTCCGTTTCTTCATTTTTTATTCATTAATCTTGAAGTCAATTTACTAAAAATCAAAACTAATATCATCGGCAGCTAGATTGGGAATTAAAAAAACGCACGGAAAATTATAAAAACTTAGGAACAAGTCTACATACAAATGTACTTAGATTACGGAGAGAGGTAAAACGTGCAAAGACTAAAGAGTTTTATTCTACATGTACAAAACATACTCTAGATCATTGAATGGCAAAGAAATGTTTATACATACTAAATTGCATGCAAGAATACGAGCAGTCTGGGTCAGCTGAAGTTATCAAAAGTGACTTTGGTATACACATCTCGTTGTCTTTGCATGGACGATTGTAGCAATGTTTGTCAACCTGACAATGATAACATTGGAAAGAATATTTTACACAATCCGCCATAAACATACACAAAATAGAGAAAATCACTAATAAGACAAAAAGATCTATTCGATTTGGAATCAGTTTTATGCATGATCGAGATCAAGAAAAGATAATGATATTTAAAGAGAGCAGCCAATATATTAAACGGAAAAAAAAACATGTATAATTTTGCTCGTGATGGATTTGCTCAGTCTACAACTGCACGATGCAACCTGTCATCCAATGAAAATTAACTTTAAGCGTCTTGGATGAATAACTTATGTATTTTTAATTATATAATGGATTAAGGTATGTCTTCAAAAAAAAAATAAAGCTGTAAGATTTATTCAGTTAACAAACAAGTACCTCCGGAGGCCAAGACCGGTACTCTGAGTAAACGTTCGTGTCGGATGACCTCTGTTTTCCGTTTCTAAAGTTCTTGTTCAACTCACACATTCTTGATTCCAAATCATAGTTGATGGACTTGCATTGCTTTTGTCGTACACATAACTTCATGCAGTGTTCAACGTCCACTGTCTTGGAACCCCAAAATTTCCTGGCACCTAGTCCCGTTTCACGAGCAAGATAATTTGAAGCATCAAAACAATGTCCAGAGTCCCCGTTTATATTGTTAAAAAGAAACTGAAAGAAGACATATGCGAAACCAAGAAAACTTTCCATTTTTATGATCCGTCAAGCTAATTTGAATTGCATGCTCATATTAAAGAACAATTGGAAAGAAATTGAAAAAAACCGAAGCGTATTGTTATGAAAGAGTACGATTATTAATGTTATTTCACTTTTAAGTTTACCGTATGTTTCTCGAATTTATCCGATTTGTAAAATGCGCAAAACGTTTCATCGCACGCATATATGTATACACAATAGTAATTCTAAACGGCTGTCAAACAAAGCAAATTGAACCCATAGCCAGTCATTCAAATGGCAAATGTGTTGTATCCATTAAAACATTAATTAACGATGTCACCACTGATTACAAAAAACACAGACAATCCTTGTCGTCGGGATGTAATTGAATACGTACATTTATTATTAAAAGAAATACGTTTTACTGAAGGACTATAGCATTATAAAAGAATAATCAATTATTTTAGTAAAATATCCCATAGTGCAGCCATAAGAAATACAGAAATACAGACACATAACATTTATTTCCGTATTTTCATCATTTCTTTGGAAGAACAATCCATTTAGGCCTAGTACTACATTTGTTGCTACATCATGCTTCAACCTGCCCAGGACAGATGTTAAACAACATAAAAACTGGTGGAAAATCGTAACCAAAATGTTTTTCCACCTTTCACATTTTTCATCGCGGCAATGTAACATAATTATAGCTGTAAAAATGCTTTAAAAGATCGTAAACAAAAAGACAGCGAAAACACAGGAAACATAATTTGTACCAACCGTTGATGTTACTCTTAAGAACAATCTGAGTAAAAATAAAGCAGAAATATGTTTCAAAACTATCTATGATGCTTTCACAATAGATTTATCATCACATAACTACGGTGTTCCGATAGGAGAGCCATTGTGTATTGGCATTGATCTCTTTGACCTCACTCTCTCGTCATTTCTGTGTATTGTCTTGTCGCATCGGCGAATTTCTGTTGCTTTGGCATGTTCGGTAAACCAAAGGTCGCCTAAAAACAGGACTAGTTTAATACAAAGCATTAAAATCGCCGCACATGGTTTTGAAATAAGGTTTCAATGAATAACTTAAATCATCATAACCATATCTAAACAGCATGTCAACAATGACAGCTTTGCTGGTGGAGGAAAGCCTAAGATGCCCTTCACACGAGAAACGGGCATCAATATGAGGCAAATTTATAATTAATTTTGTATACAATAACAACGCATGCTTACGCAACCACTTGGATTGATACAATATGCCCATATTACAATTAAAAAACATCTCATCTCGTGAATGGATATCGCATTTTTTCAAGTAGGCGATGCATGGTCATAATATCCCTCTTGATATATCATTTTTTTAAAGGTCATGTAACACATTTTTTATGGTTTTATATCATAAATATGATGCTCAAATTAAGATTTATTTATTATTTATAAAGATATTACCGAATTTAACATTTCATTTACATAAATGGAGGTAATTAGAAATTTATTTTCTAAAAAGTGTAAGTCGTTTTTTTCCAAAAAGAAATGAATGCATATATTTTAATGATTACATAAAATGTGGACAAGTATTTGAGGTACACATTTTACATATTCTTCCATGTTTGAAGAAGCATAATTATATACATATGTAAGATTTTGATAAGAATGCCAGCCCGCATAGCTCAATCGGTTAGAGCGCAAGACTTGTAATTTCGACATTGTGGATTCGATTCCCTGGCTGGCCAACTAAAATTACTAACCAGTCTTTCGGATGAGACGTTAAATAGAGGTCCCGTGTACGAGTGCTTAAACACTTGGCACGTGAAAGAACCAGGAGAAGCTTCTGGAAATGGTGCATCTTTCTGTATCTGTATCTTGCACTATCCTCCAAAATAAAAAATGACTAACACTCTTCTGGAGGACTCGCCCATATGGGCAACCAGTGACGAGTATAAATAAACTCAAATACAAACACACGTGGTAAGAACCTCAATTACAACGTACAGGATCTTCAGATCACTGTAAGCGTAAGTTGTCTGGCCTCTTTTTTAATTGTAAAGTTATTGTTTGAAAGTAAAAAAAAACACTTTGAATTTACAACAGTTAACTAGTTAATTAGTTTGACTGAATACTGCAAACATAAAACGTTTATTGAAGCAGTACCTCGGTATATGAATTATTAACATCCAACAAGTATAGTTTTAAAACAGTATATTTAGAATGAAACTGTTAAATAAAATATACACTTGACGTCAGTGTTCTATCAGTTTCCAGTTGTCAGCATAATTACATTAAATACATGTATTTTTCTTTTTGTGAAAGCCGATTGTGCTGTTTTCCCTAAGGTTACATTAATCATTCGGAAAGGGGAGATGTTTTACAGGTATCATGATCAGCACATTTGTATTTCAATGGACTCGTTTCTAACCGATTTGTTATGAATCTTTTTGTTTAAAATTAACCAAATGAAATTTTGCAATGCCGATGTGTACTTTAGTCCATGTAGTGATTTCAAAACAACTGAAAACTAGGATTTCACGTGTTATTTGCTAACATTGATAATTTTGTAAATGCTGATTTGCCCTGGTCAGCTGGTGCATTGTCAAAAAGATCTGGTTAAGGTGACTGAACGCTGAAATTTGAATGCATATATTGACCTGAGACTCATTAATTATCGGGAAGATTTTCGTAAGTTTCCGTAATTTACAAGATTTTAATGATAAGGTTGTTCCCGATACCTCTTATTTTAATTACTTCCCGATGTCCTGTGTGTAAGAACGATGGAATGGTATTGTACGAATCTCAACAAACTTTTTTGTTTATTTATAAACTGATATATAGTATGCGACGTGAGATGTTAAATCATGTTTTATTTATAGCAATTATTTTTTTTCAATTTCATGGTTTTGATAAATACATAATTTTTCATTTCCTTAATTATAATATGTAAAGTCGTACAATGAGGGATTGACATGAATAAAAAAAAACACAGTGGGCAAGTTTAGCAAAGTATAATTGAAAAAATATACAGGAAAATTTAAAAAAGAAAGAAATTCATATGATTCGAATCTACAGCCTTCAAGTTAACACTGTATCACTGAGGCTAGTGAGTCAAGGTGATATGCAGATAATTTTAGGTTATACATACACCGTTGAATCATACATTATTAAAGTCCGTATAGTTTACTTCGGAATCCGATTATTACCGATAAAAGGTCATTGATTTTTCAAATGTCTCAGGTCAATATTGCCAAACAGTGCTCGGTTTTAATTATGAGAAATAATGAATGTTCAACTTTAAAAAAAAACCACTGACTGACAGGAAAAATGTTCAATATTCAACACTATTTAGTTTAGGAAATCTATAACCCGTTGGGCGTCCGAGGCCGAGTGGTTAAGGTCGTTGACTTCAAACCACTTGCCCCTCACCGCTGTTGGTTCGAATCCTTACAGGGACTTTGGATTCTTTCATGTGAGGAAGCTATCCAGCTTGCTTACGGAACGTCTGTGATTCTACTCAGGTGCCCGTTCGTGCCAATAATGCACGGAAGAGCATTCACCAGTGGAGCTGGAACGTCACCATATGACCTTTACTGTGTCGGTTTGACGTAAAACCCAATCAAACTATAACCCGTAATTTTTTTCAAGAAGGACAATGCATCTCCGCAAACAGTGATAGTTATAAAAACCATTATTTTAATAGGTCAGTTGCAAGCAGGGCAAATTATTATAAAAATAAGTAATGCAAATTAAGTGTAACATACCATCCACCTCACACAGTTGATCATATTCGCGTGACTGCAAACTTTTTTTTTAAAAGCGAAATGCGTCGAAATTAGTAAAATGTACGGAATTCCATAAACGACAGCCTACTGTTTACTGTCAACTGCCTACTGCCAACTGCTTACTGTCAACTGCCTACTGTCAACTGCTTACTTTCAACTGCTTAATGCTTACAGCGACTGTTTAATGCTTTCTGTTCATTGATGAATGCCAACTGTTACACCTGTCAAATATCCGATTATCTGCCTGAAAGTAAATGTTGGCTTTTACGTACTTCTTCCCAATGTGTTTTATATGTTACAATGAGGCCGTTTTGAAACAGTATTGGTCAAGGAATTACAGTACACTGTATCATTTATGAAGACTTTGATGACTGAACCTTGGAACTCGTTACATTTATACATGCACATGTATAATTCTCGTTATACTAAGCAGAAATATAAGTATATATCTTTGCAGGCATCTGGAACTTTTCCCAATCATAGACCTGTAAAACTTTATAATGTTATCAAACCAAATATTACAAGTTTTTTCTGTCATTAAATCTTGTTCGGTAGTTTTGATCTACCAAATATAACTGCTTGCTTAATTATTTATACATGTATATCCCTGTTCAAGCTTGTAAAAGACAGTCATTTAGATACATCTACCATATAACATGTATATTATAATATTTGTTCATTAAATGATATTGACCCTACCCTATAACTATAGTGCTTAATGATATTTTTAAACGGAGGCCTTGTAATTTCAAGAACGTCGTTGTTTTTACATTTAAATTACAACGGTCAGTTTTATGTTCGCATTTTTAAAATAATGCTATCATGTTTTGTTAAAAAATTATCTAGATAATGGTGCTCAAAACATAGATATATAGATTTTCAGACAAAATTATTTTATATACCAGTCACATCTCGGATTACCAGTAGTTTATTCTGATAATCGTTAAACGTACTGGGAGAGTATACACACTTCATGATTCAAATCATACATGGAACCGTTTAGTTCTATCTAAAAAGTTAATACTTGTTCTGGTGATTGTAGACCGTACATTTATACCTTAATTCTACAAAGCCTTAGATTTGACTCAAGAAAATGTTTCTGTAGTAGATGTTAAAAAAATATTCGACAGAAGCATGATGACTAACATGTCAATTATTGTGTTATAATTGGAAAGTCGATGCATAATAAAATCATTGAAAGATCTTTGAGTTACGTGGGCATTACTATCCAGCTAGCTTACGGAACGTCGGTGGTTCTACTCAGGTGCCCGTTCGTGCCTGAAATAATGCACGGAAGGGCACCTGAGGTCTTCCTCCACCAGTAAAGCTGGAACGTCGCGATATGACCTATACTGTGTCGATGTGACGTAAAACCCAAAACAAACAAACAACAACGTGGGCATTATTATTTAATACAAAGGAATGTTAGTATTTGTTTAACGATATGATGAACTGCGGTATCCTAAATTTGAGGCATGTAATGCCTTCCGCATGAAATTCTTAAGTTTTTGCAGTATTGTCTGTGTTACATTCTGATTTTTATAACTTGTGATAAAGGCATTAAAACCACAGAAAAGAAAACAGATTAAACAATATAATTATTGCTGGACGGTCGTCTTTTTATTTCAAGAGTTTAGGTTAACTTGTAAAGTTGTTTTGAAGAAAAATATTGAGTTAACTTGCCAGATGTTGGAGCTTCAGATGTATTTCTTATGGAACTAATAATATAACGTAATCTTGATCTTCCTAATACATACTTTTCGCGATCCTATACATTTAAAATTGATAGACTAAGACACTATTTAAATGTGGACAATGTTGAATATTGTTTTTTCCAACTTGGTCATATTACAACATTCAACAAACAAACTTTGCTTTATGATTAACACATGTCATAATTTTGTTTTCCGGGGAGCTAAACATAAACAAAATTACAAGAAAATTATGATATTTTATTTTTAAAGAACTTTTTTATTTACAATTAAAATGAAAAACAAAATACACTTAAACACCACATAAAAAGTATGTTTAGTTCCAATAATGAGACTAGTAAGCTAATATTTTCTTGTATACACCGTTAAAAATAAAAATTATGACACGCTTGTGAAAAATCAAAATCTATATTAAATATTTGTAAAGTTTCGGGGAAAGTAATTAATATAAAAGCAGAATTATAATTAAAAGTTCTGTTATGAATTATATAATTGTTATGAGATTAATCATATTAATGTAAATATACTCTGCAATATAAATTGATATACACGTTGTAATAAAGGTAACTTAAAAATGCTTCATATTATACAATAAAAGCTCTACACTATCACGATGTCTTAGAACTGTTTACCTTAGTTGTCAAACTTCTAGAACCCTGATAGAAATAGTAATGACTTTCATTGGACGATTCTGGCAAATACGAAGGCAGATTTGCTCATTGGTTTTACTTGCGGTAATTGCAAAAAGAAATAGAAAAAATAACCAACCTTAAAGTTCACTTTTAAGTGTGTTTGTTAACAAGTTAATTATAAAAATTATATAAAAGATGGATTTTAAACAAACACGTCAAAAAATATATTGTAACATTAACATGATCATTTTGTCTATCAGAAATTTTTAGTAAATTTAAATAGTTAAGAATCTATTATTTTTCAGAATTTTTCAATAGCACAATGGCTTTTCATAACAGTAAAATAAGCTGATAAACTGTAATTTATCACGTTATGTTTGCACTCTTTATGTCATTGAAATATTGAACGTTTTTGAAACAATTTGAATACAGTAAGTTTGTCTTTGTTTATGCTTTCAGAAGGAAGCCGAGTTAAACTGGTCTATAAGAACCAATATATTTATGTAGTCCTTTTCCTCTTCCATTGTAATTTCAATATTTTCATACAGGTGCATTGGTTCTGTTGCTTGTCTGTGAAGTCAATGAAAGTATAGACTGTTCCTCCATTGAAATATTTCTGTCAGATTTATCATCCTCTGTACTGGAATAAAATTGATTCTATAATTAACGTTCAAAGCACATATCTTTGCAACGAGCAATCAACTTAACAAAAATGCATAACATAACATCTAATACGGAATTACACATTTATAAGCTATAACTAACAGCCAATGAAAATTGAACCAAAATGATCTCGTAAATGAGCTCACACATGTTTGATTATGAGAGAATGTTGAGCCTAAATTTCGCCAGTGATTTCACCAGAATATTAAAGATATTCTTCTAGAAATGTTGTCAAATGACAGTTTAATAAACTATGAAATTCTAAATAAAATAAGGGAGTGTTGACATAATGGTCCAGATCTCCGCCACTCAACCGAGGAATAGTGGGCTCAGGCCCGTCCATGTTGATTGTTGAACACAGATTCTTTGTGAATAATTTATTATTAAGTTGATTTACCCTAAAATGAATCCTACATTTGACAATTTATCAATCACCTGTGCAAGAGGCACGTGGAACCATTTCATAACATAATCAAAGCAGTGTGCAATGGTGGGACGTACACAAGTCATTGCAATGAATTCGAAATTACAAATTATTAGGCTATAAAATAATCCTTTTTAATTTACTTACCATTGTTTTCCGCAAAGTTTACCTTCAACAAAATGGCGGGCGCACATGTGTGTACATTCGGAATCCTTCTATTTGATCCATACATAGACTTAGACTGTCAATAAGCAGTAAGCAGTCGGCAGTGAGCAGCAGGCTGTCCAGTTAGCAGTAGGCAGTGAGCAGTAGGCTGTCGTTTATGGAATTCCGTAAAAATGAACCTACAAACTAGGAAAAATTCTTTATAGAAATTTAGAAATATATAAATATTCTCCATTCATATAATGTATTGTGAAGTATTGTGAAGTATGACAAAATGAGCTATTCTTATGTTCACTTACACTTGTTATGGCATACTAAGTACATAAAAATAATAATAATGATAAAACCATTATTTCAAGAATATGTCATATAACATATTGTATATTTAATTTCTGGTTTTTTGAGAAAATGCCGTTACTAATTAGGACACTGTTTGAATATAAACTAAAAAACCTGGGGTGTGCAAATATACTCTTTAGAAAAAAGGTAGAATGGCCTTGTGATGCAGGGTGTATATATAAATAACTAATTACAATGTTTCATTTACAATATGATATTCATTTACTTTTTGAAATCATAGACAACGTATTGAAGCTAAAAAAGGAAATATTTGAATAATTGATTGAAATTTAATACGAAAAAAGGACAAAATGCCTGTTCGAGTTGAAATAAAAAATATGAGAAATATGGAATGATTGGCTTGGCTAATTATGATGACAGACATATCGAATAAATTGTATTAAAATTTCATAAAGCAATTCAACAAAATGCGCGTTCTACAAAATCCAGCTATGATACATGTTTCAAATCTCCAAACGCAACCACAGTACATGTACTTAATCAGCGTGATTAAATGCAAAAGATCAATTACATTTCAAAAATGTTGTATTGCAAAATCCATTTAAATCAAGTGAGGCACGAAGGTTCTTTAGCCAGTTTCAATAATTAAATTAATTCTGTTTGAAAGCAGTATATTTTACGATTTTATTGAAATAGAGAAAAACAGAATCCATAAAGAAAGCCCAACACGGTAAAACTGTAAAATGTTGCAGGCAGAATTACTTCTATAATTCAAACATACCGGTATGTAGAATTTACCAATCTACACAAATTTGCTACCACACATCAAGAAATGACAATGCAGACTAATTGTTAACTGTTTTATTAAAATTCAACATTGTGTAGATATATAAGAGATCATAATTAATATAAGAATTAAATAATGAAAGATAAACAAACAAAAATATCACTACATGTATAACGTTAGTAAAAAGTTCATCACAATCAGCAATATTTTTTAATCGGACAAATAAAACATTCCATGTCACTTTCATAATAAAGACAATACAGTTTACTCTCAGAATTACAATTAATAACATCTGAAAGAAATTAAAAAGTTTGTAAATATTTACAATGAAACTTTTAGCACTTATTACACTATGCCGAATAGGTCAGAATTTAGCATTTTCATCTCCTAAAATTTACATCATTTATGACTGCTTATATTTTAACGACATATAAAATACTATAAGTTGCCCTAGGCTAGGTTGCACTAGATGTGTATCCTTCACAGCATATAAAAAGGCCTGCAGCTTTAATCGAATTTCTATTTAAGTTTTTCTTTACACATAGCTGGGCAGTAAGTTTGACTAGTTTCTATTAGGTGCCTATTTAATCTATGTTTAACAAAGCCCTAGTATCAAACAAGAGCGATCAGTGATCACATCATATGTGTCGCCAATTTCATGATGGCCAATTTCATGTTGGGACAAGTTTTGTGACAGACAGATAGACAGACGGACAGTGCACAACTAGACTTGGTACTGATCATTCCTGTAAAGTTTGGATAAAATTACACCAGTAGACTAGTTTATGAGGAGTAGTTCGGACAAGCTTTTGTGTATCTGGCAACACACAGAAAAAAACACCTTTTTATCAAAGGGCCATAAATCGGCCAAAAATCATTCAACCGGAAAAACCGTGCAATACGCGCAAGGACTTGAGCTACAGATCAATCCTGTGAAGTTTCATTGAAATCGCATTAGTGGTATAAGAGAAGTAGTCCGGACAAACTTTAAAAATAAAAATTATTAAAGGGCCATAACTCTGACAAAAATCATTGAACCGGAAAATGCTGACTATATGCACAACTAGACTTGGTACTGATCATTCCTGTAAAGTTTGGATGAAATTAGACCATTTGTTTATGAGGAGTAGTCCCGACAAGTTTTGTGACGGACAGACGGACGGACAGACAGACGACGGAGAAGTGATCCCTATATGTCGCCACTACTCCGTAGAGGCGACACAATGAATGCATATTTTTATGATACTGCTTTGAAAGTTAAGTTTATTTTTTGTCCATTCACAAGTTTATTGAGCATAGTGTTGGACCCGCCTGTCTTTAAATTTTTAACTTGATGAGTGACTTGGTGCCTCCCTGCCTCCTCCAAACTTGACCGCACTGTCATAATGTTAGAGAAAGCTCCCTCGCTGATCTGTAAACAATGAAAAGAGTACAAATGTCTGCAAGGCCACACATCAATATTTAAAGAAGCTCAGAACTGAGTGTAAATGTATTGTTTCTCAATAAAACATGAACTTTGGTTGATTTGATATTTGATGGATCAATAAAGATTTTTTTAATAACTTTAGGTTAAAAAATATTCATTTCTCTTACACTGTATATTGTTCATGTGTGTGATGACAAAATGAAAATCTTACTTTAGGTGCAAGCTTTGATCGGGAAGTTGGTATTTTGCTCAGTCGTTTCTTGTTTTCATCTGGCTTAGACAATATAACTGAAATTAGAATGTATTAAATCATTTAAAACAATTCCACACGGAAGGTGCATACATTTCCTTATACAAAAATCGTCAATGTACTTTTTCTATAAAATATTTCTGTGGCAGACATACATTACTGGCACTGGTACCGCAGTCATTATGCAAAAACTGATACTGAATTACTGTCTCAGAAAAGTGGTACTAGTACTAGAGGCAGTTGTGAAGTTTTGACAAACATGCCAACATTTTTTCTGAAAGAGATACTAGTAGCTGGTCAATTTCAGGAATTTTTTTTTTTTCTTTTTCAAGAAAGAGCAAACTTTTTTTATCTCATTTGTTACAAAAGAAAGCTATGTTATGGAAAGTTATATTTGAAACTGTTCTACATGAGAACAACCTAACTATAGAGATATCATTTTTATGTTAAATTTATCTTTGTTATAGCTACAGTTTGTATTGTATCTAGTGTTGGGTATCAGACTAAAAATTCACTATTGATAATCGGACCACCGCAATCGATTGTCTGCCGATAGTATAATCGAGTTTCGCATTTTTTATGGCCCTTTTTTATGGTACCAATCCTTGTATGTGGGATACGGACAAAAGCCCCCCCCCCTTCGGACGAAAGCCCCCCCATCTAAAAATGACAAGGTGGACAAAAGCCCCCCATGAAATTTACACATAGGACAAAAGCCCCCCCATAAAAAAGTAAAGGTAGGACAAAAGCCCCCCCCCCCCCCAATAGTCAATCATATTTACATATAGTGTATTAAAGTTGTGTTTTTATGTGTTTAAAAGATATGTATTGGACATCACATGTAGGTGACATAGTGCTAAGGATATTAATTTGATCACTTTGCAAAAGTGATTAAACAATACTACTCTTCTGACACTTGTTGTGTATATGAAAAGCTATGAATTTGGTATCGCATGCATACATTATTTAATTTTTTATCATAAACTTTGTTATCACTTCAATATATACATTATAAATAAACATTAAAACAAATTCTTTTCATTTTTATTTAAAAGTTTGTGTGAAATTTGATGAATTTGAGCACCTGTGCAGTGAAAAAAGATGAGGGGGGGGGAGCTTTTGTCCTACCTGTATTTTTGATGGGGGGGGGGGCTTTTGTCCTATGTGAAAATTTAATGGGGGGGGGGCTTTTGTCCACCTTGTCATTTTTAGATGGGGGGGGGGGGGGGGCTTTCGTCCGGGGGGGCTTTTGTCCTACACTCCTTGTATGTATTTTTTTTTATACAGTACTGGTCAGGGACCATCAACTGGACACTTTTTGAACATTTTTCCTTACAGATTTCATAATTTTTAACCTAGAAATAAAAAAAATTGACAAAGTTCAGCTAGGTTCTTCTCCTAACTAACAAACTAGTTTGTTTATTTCTGAATGTATTTACTCTTATATCTGAGGCTCGACAAGGAGGGTATCAAAATTACCTAAATTGTCAACAGTCTACAGTACCATGTGTCCGGACAGATATGTACATGACGTGATTTAATTCAGATAAAAGCTTGGGTGCTTTGATTTGTGACTTTTAACATGATATACATTATTTCAGCAACAAATGCTGAAGTTTTGGATATTCTATTGTTTACTCTGCAAATGATTATAGCTGGTATATGAGGTCAGGCATTGCTTTCTTGGCCCCCAAATTTCAACGTCAACATTCTTGAAAAAGACATTAAAAAATTACCATTTACGGAGGTTGAAATAAATTTATTTACTTAATTTTAGAAGAAACATGCATTTATTGTTGATATAAAAATGACTGACCACCACTAAACAAAGAAAATTCTAAATTAAGCATTTTTGGGGCCGTCCGGGTTTGGTTGTTGTCCGGTTTTGGTGGTCCCCAACCAGTAGTGACCAAGATTTAAACATGCTGTAAGTAAAAAAGCGGGGCGAAGATGAATTCGCTTTGATGTTCAGGCAACAAAGTCATTCAAATTGCCCTCTTATTCACTAGACATGTTTTTTCTGTATTTTTTTTTATTTTTTTTAATGAGGCAAACAAAAAAGACTTTAGGATCGTCTGAAATTGGGAAACTTCTATTTGACCGTGTGTAAAAAAGTTACGCCCTAGACAATTCAGCAGTGGTAGAACATTAAAATAATCAATTTTTAAAAAGGACTATCGACTGTCACCGATTTTTGGGTTGTCCGATAAGTTATCGATTTTCAGAGACAATCGGGACAACACTAATTGTATCTACAGTTTGTATTGTATCTTTTAAAAAACAAACAGATACCAAAAAATAATTAAAGGATTTATAATGGCGATGTGAGTGTAAAGGTGGAAATACGCTTGTATTAGATGTGTGCATTACTGTAATGACATGAATTAATGAATCACTCAGTGAAATGGAACAAAATGGTTAAGTAAAACATAGTGTGAAGAGGAACATATACATGTATATATCATAATGCACAATTTGGTTTACATGATAATCGATCTACAGCAGAGACCATTTCACTGCTACATATTATTATTCAAATTCCTTTTTATACCAATTTCCTTTTTAAAATCCATCCAGGAAGGACAGAGTTTCATCAATGCACTTTTTTTTCAAAAATTCACATTATAACTTTGAACATACAAGTGAGACCTTGACCTTTGAGCTGGATATCTTAGTCTTGCTTGTGAATATCTTAATTATGTTTAACAGCCATTTACGTTAAGTAATTTTAAAATCCACCCAAGCATGATAGAATTATTAACTGAACACAACCATCAATGCATTAAATAAAAACTTAGTATCATAAGTGATAACCTCGGAGTACAAGTGTGCCCTTGACCTCTGACGGAAGAGCTGATTCTTGCGCATGACACATTGTTATCATGACCTACACATTTATGCATAATGTATTTTGATTTCCACCAAGGAATAACAGACTTGTTGACCAGACAAGGACATCATTGTACTTTCAAGAAAAATGTCCTTAAAGTCAATCATGACCTGGACATTTGAACAAGTCAACAGACCTGTGTCTTGGCCATAACACATCCTTTCAATGTGATATCCATTGATATAAAATTAAACTTTTAAAATCAATCTATAAATGACAAAGTTACTGACCAACAGGAAGGATAGACTGTATGAGAGAAGGGGAGAACACATCCCTACCCACATAAAATGTAGGTCACTGTGTCAAATTATAGTTAACTGATATAAAAATTAATTCACTGGCATTTTGAAATGTGCATTTGTTAAAAATTTTCGGTTGTGAAAAAATGGATTCAATTCAAACCTAGAATTTTTACTATATACTGATGAAAAACCAAAGAAAAGTCTAGCCTTTGCAGTATCAAACAAGAATATAGCTTTTACTTTATACATGTAAGGAAAACAATGACCCCAAACCCAGATAGGACCAAATTTGACTCTAGGTCAATCTAAATTTTTTTACCCTTTGACTTAGATATTCAATAGATTAGAAACAATTTTAGTGAGCTTATATGGAAACATTCAGGCCCTTTCATTTAAGTGCCCAGATCCTGTGAACAGGTCCCCAATTAGCTTTTTGTGCTACTGAATTAAAAAAAGGGCTCCCTGAAATTAGCAGTATAAAAAATGTCTTTATTAAAAAAGACACATTTTTTTTAAAAACCCAATTTTCTAAAAATTCGAAGTGATTTATCACACTTAACAAAAATATACATACTTTTTTAACCTTTTTACTCGGGGGATTTTGTTCTTTAAATGGTTTCCCTGGCAAGTTGATTTTTACCAATCTTTTTTGAGTTATTTCTTTTTCTTTAATGATATTCTAATTTTTGGCAAATTTGGGGATTGTGGGGGAACTGTTAAATTTTTTTGGTATGCATCCATGGTGTTTTTTTTTTTTGCATACGACTGATGAGTAGGGGAAGTCAGTTATCATCATAATAAAATTCCTCCTCTTGACACATTTTACCCGAAGTTTAAAAAGATCAAAGCAAAGAATTTTTCTTAATACGTTTATTGTGTATGAAGTGAAATAGTTGATTTATTTTATCAAAATATTAAAAGGCCTATGGCTCTAATTTTGTCACTGAAAATATTCTCTTAATGACAAAGGAAAAAAATATTGTAAAATATCAGCGAAAGCGATATAAAAATTTTAAACTGGTTTTAAAAATTTTATATTTTTTTGAAATAGTGCAGTGTAAAAAAAATTTGGTTTTTTTTGCTAAGGGAAAAAAATAGTTACTAAAGAAGTCACTGGTTGCTGTACAAAATCAATGGTTTTCTTGGAAATCACTGAATGCTATGAAATTCAATGGTAGAAAGGTAAATGTTTGCTAGGAAGCCACCCATTGCTATGTAAAAAAGTCAATGTTTGCTTTGTAAGTAACTGGTTGCTTTGGAAATTCAATGCTTGCGTGGAAGTCTATGACTGCTATGTAAAGTAAGTGGTTGCTATGGAAGTCAATGGTTGCTAAGGAAAGTCAATTGTTGCAATATTAGTTATTGGTTGCTATAGAAAGTTAATGGTTGCCATGGAAAAACACTGGTTCCTATGGAAAAGTCAATGGTTGTTGTAAAGTCACTGGTTGCTAAAGGCAGTCATTTAATTTAAGAAGACTTGGTGCTATCTAAAAGTCAATGGTTGCTATGGAAGTATATTGTTGCTATAGAAAATCACTTGTTGCTATGTAAAACAATTGGTTGCTGTTGAAAAGGGGTCACTGTTGGTTGTATGGAAAGTCACTGTTTCTATGGAAAGTCAATGGTTTCTAAGAAGTTTCAAACGGCCTATGGAAAATCAATTGTGCCATTGGAAGTAATTTGGTTTCTATGGGAAGTCACTGGTTACTAAAGAGGTTATGTTTGCCAATTGGAAAGTCAATGGTTCCATTGAAAGTAAAATGGTTTGTCATCGAAAGGGTACTGGGTTGTTATGAGAAAAGTCACTGGTTGCTAAAGAGCATCTATGGTTGCCTAGTAAGTCATTTGGTTGCTTATGCGGAAAGTCACTTGTTAATTGAAATCACTGGTTTTTATGGAAGTCATTTTTGCTTATTATGGGTGAATGGTTGTTATAGAAAAATTAAGGTTTTTTTTAAAAAGTTTGCTGCATGGGGAAATCAATGGGCACTTGGGGGTCAATGTTATATGCAAAAATCACGGTTTTATGGAAAACAATTTAAGGAAAAATTTTTTCCCCCCGGATGGGGCAATTTTTATGAAGGGTAATTTAAGGGTTTACCCGACTAGTTTATACCAAAAAATTTAAGGTAAAACTCTATGTAAATATGTTAAAATCGTAAGATATAGCCCTTGCAGTTTATAAGGAGATTTTTTAAAACTATTTACTATAAAAGGAAAAGCCATGACCCCCTGGGGACTATCATTTTAACAAACTTAGTTGAGGTCTACCAGATATTGTTCAAGTAAAAAAACCAAGCTTTAGCTTTTGTTGTTTGACAGAAAAAGAAATTGTTTAAAGCTTTTACTACATACATATAAGGAAAATCTATGTTGCCCTGGGTGGGACAAATTTTGACCCAAGGGCTATAATTTAAATTATTTTGTAGAGGTCCACCAGACAATGTTTCAGCCCAAATATCTTAACTAAAGCCTCTATAGCATATTAGAAAAAGTTTTTTTTACTATATACATACAGTGTATAAGGAAAATTAATGATCCCCTAGGCGGGGCCAATTTTGACCTCAGGGCTTTCATTTGAACAAACATGGTAGACACCCACTTGATGTTTCATGCTGAATATATAAGCTCTAGCTCTTTGTTTTTTTTAGAAGATATTTTTTGTTTTTACTATATACATATACATGTAAGAAAAATCATTGACCCCCTGGGGCGGGGCCAATTTTGACCCCAGGGCTTTAATTTGAACAAACTTGGTAGACACCCACTAGAAGATGTTTCGTGCTAAATATATAAGCTCTAGCTATTTGACTTTTTTAGCAGATTTTTTTTTTTTTTTTTTTAATTTTTATATACATATAAGGAAAATCAATGACCCCTTGGGAAGGGGCAATTTTGACCCAAAGGCTTTTATTTGAACAAATTGGTAGAAGATGTTCTATGCTAAATATCTAAGATCTAGCTCTTTGGGGTTTTTAAAAGAAGATATTTAAATTTTCACTTTCGGTTGCCATGGCTATCAGAGGTCTGCCTGGGATTCATTCTTCAGGTGACCACCCTTGGAACATTCCTGTGAAGTTTGGATGAAATTGGCTCAACAGTTTATGAGGAGATGTCGTTTAATGTAAAAGTTTACGGATGGACAGACGGACGATGGTTGGGATCACAAATGATGAAAATTACAGCTTTCATTACATTAGTCCGACAGTAAGATTATGTACAGAAATTTCAATATCAACAGAAGTCAAACAGTAACAGCCTTAAGATCTCAGAACACACAGCTGTTAGTACTTGAACTTATCAAATTAATACAGTAAAGTTATTGTACTAATAAATACAGCAAAAACCTTTTTCAACTTAATATGTTAACAAGGATGGATAAAATGTGTGACAGTCTTACATGGTCACCAGCTTCATGATCAGTGAATGAAATACTTGTTACCGACGAAATTGGAGTTACTTCTGTATAATCACTACTGCTATTGTATCTGTAACCATCACCAAATTCCTTTTGTGCATCCTTTCTAGACTGCGAGTACATAGGACTTTCTGAATTTTCAAACAGGTCTGGTGATTGAACTGGAATTTTGATATTGACTCATTATTGTAAAATATGTGGATGAAAATATGTACTTACAACTAAATATAAATAAGTACAGCTAATAAATGTTAGTTGGTTTTTTTTAACTAAAGTAGGAGAATTAAAAAATTCTAGGTTAGGTTTAATAATTTAATATTTCAGATTATCAAAACATCAGAAAATATATAAATACTATTATACAATTTGCTACAGGAAGATAAATTTTTATTTGCTGTAGAGAAAGTTACTAAGAAATAACAAAATCTCACTGAAAATTGAAAAAAAATATATAATACAAATAATTTAAAAATACATAAGGAGCTTTTAAATGTAAATTAGTGACAGTAAATGTGCACACACTGACAGTTAGAGATATGCAAAAGCTCAACCCCAGGATATGAGAACTATTCACCAATGATGTTTCAAGCTGATATTTCTTAAATATTTTTTGAGATATAACCTGGAAAAAGCATAAAAGATACAAAAAGGCACTAATCAGAAAAATTATAAAGTTAGATTGATTATGTATTGTTGTCCTGCCCAGCAATCCTCCTCTATGAAATCTATCCACCAATAAAATGATAAAACAAGAAATGTCGAACGACACATATGCCCCCCTTTCTAGCCCTTGACTAACATTATTGGTAACTTTTTTGAGTCTCAAACTTGCCATAAATGGGTACATGGAAATAAAGACTTTGTGATAAATAGTTTTCAATAATAATGAGACATTTGAGGCCCCTGTGATCTAGACCTTTGAACTAGTGACCCAAAATCAATAGGGGTCATCTAATAGTTATGACCAATCAATATTAGAAATTCAAATATGAAGACTTTGTGATAAACAGCTTTCAAGATACTGAGCCGAAATCATGCTAACATTTAAGAACCATGTGACCTTGACCTTTGACCTAGAGGTCACAAAATCAATAGAGGTCACTTACTAGTTATGACCAATCAGTATGTGAAATATGAAGACTTTGTGATAAATAGTTTTCAAGATAATAAGCGGAAACCATTCTGACACTTACGGCCCCTGTGACCTAGACCTTTGATCTAGTGACCCCAAAGCAATGCGGATCATCTGTTGGTTATGACCAATCACTATGTGAAATATGAAGGCTTTGTGATAATTATCTTTGAAGATAATGAGCTGAATTCCTCTACCATTCAAATACCCTGTGACCTTGACCTGGTCACCCCAAAATTAATAGGGGTCATCTACTAGTTATGACCAATCAAGACGTGAAATAGGAAGACTTTGAAATAAATATTAAACAAGATAATAAGCAGAAATCATATTACCATTCAAGGCCCCTGTGACCTTGACCTTTGACCTAGTGACTTCAAAATCAATAACGGTCATCTATTAGTTATGACCAATCAATATGAGAAATATGAAGACTTTGTGATGAATTGTAAACAAGATAATGAGCGAAAACCATTCTGACATTTAAGGCCACTGTGACCTTGACCTTTGACCTAGTGACCCCAAAATCAATAGGGGTCATCTAATAGTTATGACCAATCAATATGTGAAATATGTAGACTTTGGGCTGAATACTTTTCATGATAATCAGCGGAAACCATTCAGACATTTAAGGCCCCTGTGACCTTGACCTTTGACCCTAAAATCAATAGGGGTCATCTACTAGTTATGACCAATCAATATGTGAAATATGAAGACTTTGTGATAATCAGCATAAACCATGTTCACATTTAAGGCCCCTGTGACCTTGACCTTTGACCTAGTGATTCCAAAATCAATAGGTGTCATCTACTACTTATGACCAATCACTATGTGAAATATGACAACTTTGTGATAATCAGCATAAACAATGTTCACATTTAAGGACCCTGTGACCTTGACCTTTAACCTAGTGTCGTAGTGATTCCAAAATCAATAGGTGTCATCTTCTAGACTACTTATGACCAATCACTATGTGAAATATGACGACTTTGTGATCAATACTTTTCAAGATAATCAGCGGAAACCATTCTGACATTTAAGGTCCCTGTAACCTTGACCTTTGACCTAGTGACCCCAAAATCAATAGGGTTATCTACTACTTATGACAAATCATTATGTGAAATATGAAGACTTTGTGATGAATACTTTTTAAGATAATTAGTGGAAACCATTCAGACATTTAAGGCCCCTGTGACCTTTGACCTTGTGACCCCAAAATCTATAGGGCTCATTTACTTGTTATGACCAATCACTATGTGAAATATGACAACTTTGTAATGAATACTTTTCAAGATAATCAGTGGAAACCATTTTGACATTTAAGGCCCCTGTGTGACCTTGTAACCCCAAAATCAATAGGGGTCATCTACTAATTATGACCAATCACTATGTGAATTATGAAGACTTTGTGATAAATCGTTTTCAAGATAATCAACCGAAACCATGTGGTCTACCTATGGACAGACGAACATTAGCAAAACAATATACACCCTCTTCTTCGAAGGGTGGCATAAAAATGGAGTTTCAAGTTGATATCTCAAATAGTTTGAGCTATGGTGCAAACAAAACTTAAACATGAAAAAATAACAGATGTATGGGGAAAGTGACAGAGACTACAATCAAACCCCCCTGCCAACTTTTTGTCTGGGGATAGATAGTATTGATATAATTTAGTAGATACCTTTAGCTAAACTATGTTGTGACATAATTTCTTTTGATATTTTCCGTTTAATTTTTCGCAGTTCATGATCTACCCAGTTTGAAACAGCTTGAGAATCTGTGCTTGCACCAGTTGTAAAAGTACTGCTACTGTTAGAGCTCTTTACACTACTGTTGTCATCATCAACATCAAATGCTATCTGATGAATGTTTTTTTTCCCTGTTAATATAAAGTATTTTTTCATTTACATTTACTACATATCCAAATGCAGCTTGCAAATAAAAATATGGCAAGCATTTCAAATATATGACAAAACTAAATGTTAACTGGTCAGCAGTCTGATTCAAGTCAAAGTCAATATTGATACATTATTAACTTACTGTTAATCATAACAAATGCAATACCTGAGAAATATATGAGCTGCATCACGACAAAACCAACATAGTGCGTTTGTGACCGGCATGGATCCAGACCAGCCTGCGCATCTGTGCAGTCTGATCAGGATCCATGCTGTTCGCTTACTTACCTATTACAAGTAGAGAAACTGATAGCGAACAGCATGGATCCTGATCAGACTGCGCGGATGCGCAGGCTGGTCTGGATCCATGCTGGTCGCAAACGCACTATGTTGGTTTTGTCGTGACGCGGCTCTATGATAATTAAATGCTAAGGTATATCTTAACAATTGAAGATTTCATTACTTTAGAAACAAAATGGCAAGTACGAAATTTCATTTTAAAGAAGTTAGACATTAAACTGATCAAAGGAAAGAGAAAATACCGTTTTCATTTGCAGTAATGTCAGATACAGTTTCCATGCTTCCATTGTCAGTGTTTGAACTTTGAGCTTTAATGGAGTCAACACAAACATTGGCATGATTACCATAATCTAGACAAATAACAAAGTCAATTAAAGAATTGGCTATACATGATACATCTTTGGTGATAAAACATAATTGTTTTTCTACTTTAATAACTGACAGAAAGGCAAGTAAGCTATTAACACTGCTGAACAAGGCAGCAGTGTTACAAATGCATACAGCAAGGTCACTGATACCATTACAGACTGCTATTGTTTATCTTTGTGAGAATGAAACTTTTCAGTTTTAATTGACTGGATATTTGTGTAATGGAAATTTATTCTATGCAAGCCAATGTGTTACTTTGTGTTGCAAATAAACTCTTTTACTGTGACTGTAGTGAATTTATTATCTTTGGAATTAAGTTGCAAAGAAGTGTTCCATTTTTACAACAACAGAATAATGTAACACATGTCATTGCACAATATACATTTAACATTTCCAAAATTAGTATTCTATCAGAGTATGGTATATTAATGATCATAACAGGTATTAACAGACAGTTTTTTATATTTTTTACCTCTTTCACCACAGATTTTCTCAGATGAACGTTCTTTGTTGACTGTTCCATCCAAAACAGCCTGGTAATAATTATGCTGAATACAAACAACATAAATACTATGTTCTCTTCGTCATAATTAATCAACTATTTGTCCCATATTAACAGATAATGTTAAAACAAACACATGCACCAGCTATCATTATGGAAAATATGTGGTAACAAGAGCACCACTGGGCATAGCATTATATGCCCGAAAGTGTTGTTTTTTTATTTTGGTAAGGTTGAAGCATTTGTACGACACGGGAATGAAATAAAGTATTACCTCCTTCAAATAGCAATCCTCCTATTAAGTTTGAATATTGTGGGCCAAATGGAACTTCAGTTATTCTCCGGAAACTGTTTTTCAGTTTTAAAGTAAAAGTAACCTCGAATTTTGACCTTTTGATCCCAAAATCAATAGGGGTGTTCTACCAAATATGGACAATCATCCAATGAAGTTTGAACACTGTGGGCCAAATGGAACTTAAGTTTTGTTCTGGAAACTGTTTTCAGTTTTAAAGTAATAGTGACCTTGACCTTTGCCCAAAAAAATCAATAGAGGTCTTCTACCAATATGGACAATCATCCTATGAAGTTTGAACACTGTGGGCCGAATGGAACTTAAGTTATGCTCCGGAAACTGTTTACTGTTTTAAAGTAATAGTGACCTTGACCTTTGACCTTGTGACCCCAAAATCAATAGGGGTCTTCTACTCAATATGGACAATCATCCTATGAAGGTTGAATATTGTGGGCTAAATGGAACTTAAGTTATGCTCCGGAAACTGTTTTCAGTTTTAAAGTAATAGTGACCTTGACCTTTGACCTTGTGACCCCAAAATCAATAGGGGTCTTCTACTCAATATGGACAATCATCCTATGAAGGTTGAACACTGTGGGCCAAACGAAACTTAAGTTATGCTCTGGAAACTGTTTTCAGTTTTAAGGTAATAGTGACCTTGACCTTTGACCTTGTGACCCCAAAATCAAAAGGGGTCTTCTACCCAATATGGACAATCATCCTATGAAGTTTGAACACTTTGGGCCAAATGGAACTTAAGTTATACTCTGGAAACTGTTTTCAGTTTTTAGGTTATAGTGACCTTGACCTTTGACCTTGTGACCCCAAAATCAATAGGGGTCTTCTACCCAATATGGACAATCATCCTATGAAGTTTGAATACTTTGGACCAAATGGAACTTAAGTTATGCTCCGGAAACCAAATTGCTAACGGATGGACGGATAGACGGACGCCAGGGGGTATAACATAATATGACCGAAATTCTTTCGGGCATATTAAAAAAATACATAACTGAGAAAATATAAAACTTATTCTAATTAGTTCTAATAACAAACTTTGATATAGCAAATTTCTGTTATTTATAATTATATACCCCTTAAAAAACCATAGTTTCACTATAAGAATCAATTACAATGTATAATATTTATTTCTAAAGTATCTATTAAAGTAAAGATATTCACCATTTGTATCTGTTCCTGAAATTCTTTAGCAAGATCTCGAACACTTCCTCTACCACCAAACCAAGCAGGATCTGGTTCAATTCTTTGATGATACATTAATAAATTAAGATAAAGAAATATTAGACAAAATCAATATAAATATGTTTACAATCCAGATACAAATAACGAAAGTACAAGAAATTTGTTGTGATAAGATAGGCAGTAATTTTATAAACTGACTAATATATAAAATATTAAGTAGAATTAAATTTTCAACATCAAATGAATAGGAAATATTTATCTTTCTTCTTCATCAAACAGAATAGTAAAAAAAATACATATAATTCATTTTTCTATTATATAAGTGGAATAAATAATCACACTGGAGCAGATGGTTCTTTCCTTCTAGGTAATGTGACATATTTTGCATTGCCTCTTCTGTTCTCTAATTGACCCAATGGATGAGTTGGACTATGCTCATTGTAGAGTGAATATAAACTTCCTGCTGTAGAAAGCCTCCCTTTAATTGGAAAAAAATCACTGAACAAAGCATATTTACATAGAACTATACATTTACAACATTTAAACAATATTTAGATAGTTTGCCTGCTATATTAACTTTTAAACAACTTTAAAGTGGATCAGTGTCTACAGTCAGGGCACATTTTCTGTACGTATTTTAAATACTGATAAAAACAATAGAAATGTATCAGTTAGATATTCTTATGAAATAATTCTGGAAAACAAAATGTTGATAGAGTTCTGAAGTGATTCAATGTGAACACACATATATATATATATATACGAGGGATGATCAAAAATTAACCGGACTTTGTAATTGATTCTTAACCTGTTTAATGAATTTACGTAAAAATACACGGAACATAAATCGGAATCTATCCCCTAAATGATACAAAAAATACCAACAAGAAATATAAACAAATAAAAAAGTTAAGCTGCTATTGGCATGTACATGTAAAGCAATGCGGCGCACGGTATAACTTTCAAATTGACGTTAACGACGTCACAAATTTATTTTCCTTAACGGAGCAGTTTTTTACTCATTCACGGAGTAGGCCAATACGTGGTACAGTCATGTTATTGATGCGGCGGATCCACTACCTATATATATTTCTGTACAAGTGGGTATCATATTGTATTGTAAAATAATGGATGATGATAAAGAGCTCCAGTAATAACGAAAATTTCCGTTCTTTCCTTCTGTAACTTGATTGTTGGAAAAATTGCACATGCAATAAACTATATTATGTATTACAAATAATGTGAAATGATGTTGCTGAATGATAATGTATCATACACAAGAACAAAATAAAACTATTATCAAAATTGTCATTATTTTTAAAATAAAAACAAAACGCATAGCCGATTTTGAACAGTGACTGTCTAATTGTTGACACAATTTCTCTATAAAAGTATTGTCTAAAATAAGAAAATAATTAATACAATTGTAAACAAAGAAACAATATATGTAATTTATGCATTAACTTTTATCATTTTAAAATCCTTAGTGTTGACTGGACCGTGTCCTAGCTACTGTCGAACACCGTTGACAATGTCCGCAGTCAATCGACTGTCATTTTTCAACGTCCTGGCGATTGACGTCCCCAACGTCCTTGAAAATTTCTTTTTTCGGTCTCTCCCTCACTTGTTTTCTATTTCTTTGTTACCCTTTCTTACTTTTTTATGCTAATCAAAAAATATGATGTGGCTTTCTGGAACTTTTCTCTTGATAGCCATAATCTTTTTCTACGTTTTAAACAGTTTCTCGTCTTACTTTTGACACATTTTTCTTATTGATCGATTTTCGAGACATTCTGACGACATAGTTTCAAGGAGAGTATTTCATTAACATGTGACGTTTGAATTGTGATTGCAAATATAAATATGATTTAAATGAAGTCATTTTACTGACAAAGTCAAAGATATGGTTCATGACGTTTTTGGCGTATTTTGAAATCTAAATGTGCCATATTGTAAAATATACGCAGCTTAAAGCGCCTGATGTCAAGGCGAATTTACACACTGCGCCGGGTAAGCGTTACCATGGTTTTTGAATTCGCTGTTACGGACAATTTTTTTACGTTATCAGATTAGATAAAGCATCAGTTTACACATATTGTTTTCCGATTAAGTGTGATATATAACAATAAGTGACAGGTTGAAAATTGTTCAATTGACAGTCACAGTCCGGTTTATTTTTGATCAGCCCTCGTATATATATATATATATATATATATATATATATATATATATATATATATATATATATATATATATATATATAAACTGTATATATATATATATATATATATATATATATATATGAATAATAATTCAAGCTGTATTTTTTTTTTAATTCTCCTGTTCGTATAAATACATATACATTTGACAAATTTACAAATATCTCAGATTGTTTTGATTGTACTACTACTAATATTTTATTCTAGAGCAATTTATTATCTGCTATATGTCATATGGGTTCATGTTTTTTTAACACTTTGTTACTGGCAACATCCATACATGTATATCTTTTGTGGTATGTTGTCATGTATGGTTCTACATACTATCAACATAATTATTTATAGATCTTCCATTTTAGTCCAATTAACTCTTCCTTTGTTCAATAAGATGTTATGTTTTAACAATAGTTAAAGATTCATACTTTCTTTTAAACCATCATTTGTAGCATTTTAGGCAATAGAAAATAAATAACTAGATTCTCATCCAAATTTTGGGAAAAAATGGGGCGGGTGGGTGGATTTTAATTTTTATTTTCCATTCTCGGTCTGGAATTACACACAAGGAGGTCCATATTTGGGACTTTGTTCTATATAATAGGTTCTAATATTATGTGTATGTAAGATATATAGATTCAGATTGAGAATAGAAGCAACATGATTATATATCTTGATTATAATAATCTAGCTGTTTTATTGAACCTTTCATATGATTGACATGTTTGGACAAAATAAAAAAAAACACAACAATATATAGATCTACATGTATTGTTACAAAATAAGACATATTAATTTTATAAAGGAGTCGAATAAAGATGTACTATGCCTATATGCTGATCAATAGTGCTTTTACATGAGTAAATTAATTAATCAGCTAATGAAGCTACACAAAAAGACAATCCTTTTTATATATTAATTACATTGCAAAAATAACATCTAAGCTATTGAAAATTTGGCAAAGAAAGTACAGAGATTTACCTATTATATTAAAAAGCGATCTTATTTTCACTTGAATCATACCATGACTAGATATTATAAAGATTACATACAAAACCAAGCAGCACGCTGACCATGAAGATTCTATGCGAAATTCATTTTTAAGGCCACAAGGACCGGCACCCTTTTATTTATTTTTGGTTCAGATGATTATTTCAGGCCGTGACATTTCAAGTATTATATGATAACAACCTGGGTGAATGTCAAAATAACGGCTTTTCTTAGTGTGGCTTTCAATGAAAAAACAAAACAAAATGTGGCCGGTAGAAATAATCAGGGTCCTCACTAGAATTTTCAAAATCCTGAGACTCCTTTTTTCTGCTGTTTCTTCTTGATTAATTCCATCATGGAGCTTGTATAATATATCTGTGATTACACACACCCCCCTCCCTTAAGAAAATATACATTGTACAACACAAAGTGGCAAATGTCTCATTCTAAACTAATGTAAACAAAACAGTAAGTTAATTTAATTGATAAACTATATTTAAAGTGTTATTGGACAATTTTTATCAATACAAGGCTTCCTTTTGCTGACTTCTTTTTTTATCATAAAAATCGGCATCGCGAAAATATGTGACAAACGAAAAAAAATGTCTGTTTTCTGCATAACCATTCACAATAATTATTGTAGTTGTCGTTGATTTTGATTTTATCAGATTAATTATTTTATGAGTATTTTTTAGATTGTTATTCAGCTGCTATTTTAAAAGGCATTGTAAAACAAAATTTCCAAATTTGTAATTTACGGCAAAATTTACCGATGCTGTTTATGAACTGCTGTTTATTTGAATATTTGACTTGTCCAAAATTGGTCTTTTGTGGTTCAAACATTCAATATAGTTACAGTTCTTTAACACATTTCATTTAAACTATCAAAACAGGTTATTTTTAGCTCTTAGAAATTTTATTTGGACTCTAGGATTTTTCACGGTAAGAAATTTTATCTCGGCCCGCATGATCCGATCTTTATTCAGCCAGGACCGAGACCGAGACTGACGGATTTTCGGCCGCACAGATGATGATACACTTATATACTTAATTCTTTTTTTTTCATTCTTTTTCATTCTTCTTTATTTTTTTTATTTTTTATTTATTTTTTTTTTTTTTTTGAAAATAAAAATCGTTCGTTCGGGCGGAGCAATTTTTGCCGGGCGGGCGGGGATGAGAATCTGGGAATTTATTTTCTATTGCCTTATGAAACATAGCTTAATCTTGAACAAAAATTATGAAAAAAAGCTTTGTACTAAAACTCTTAACAAATCTTTAAGCATTATTTATTGCTGACCATTCAACTGTAATGTACCTAAAGTTGTGTATTCATCAGATACTGCCTCATATGTTCCATGACTGGCAGGTTTAGCTCCAACAACCCTACTTCTCTGGTGTGTATCCAAAGCAAGGAAACTAAAATGGCCCATAGATGATGTCTTTCTATCCAGTGGTCTGAATTATAATCAATATTGAAGCTGCACCAAAGCAGATGAAAATTCATATTAGTCTGGTAACTGACTTTTTAATACAATGAATTAGGCATTTTCATAAGTAAACTATGTTAAAGGCAAAAACTATGTATTTTCCTAAAATGTAGTGTGAATATTAATTGGTTGACATTATTTTACCATAATTTTTTATTTTTGCATACATTTTTTAAAAGTGAAGGACAACAAAACAGATTTTCCATTGCCATTTTAAATTTTCCTAAATACAATTGAACAACAACAGCCAGTCAAACCCTGGATGTTCCCCCAAGTAGGTTTTGGACAGAGACACATAGACTTTTTTGTTGATATTTCTTGTCTTTTCAGAGTTATGTCTCGGACAAATTTCAATGTGTAAAAATGTAAAAAAGGACAATAACTACAAAATTAGGCAAGACAGAGTTACGGTTCTTATGCACTCCACTTTACTCAATGACATCTATCCACCTACTAAGTTCCTTGTTGATATCTCTTGTAGTTTGACTAAGTTCAGTGTAAAAATGAAAGAAGGGCAATAACTCTAAAACTAGGCAAGGCAAAGTTGCGGTTCTTATGTACTGCACTTCTACTTAAATAAGATCTATCTACCAATAAATTTTCAAGTTGATACCTCTTGTAGTTTCAGAGTTATGTCCTGGACAAGAAAATGCGGACAGACGAAGAAAGTGGAGAATATATGCTCTCCCTCTGGAAAATTACATTACTCTCTATCATTCAATATGTACAGTTAATTTAAAGCACATTTTATACTAATTTACTTCTTCCAAGTGTCAGTTGTACCAGTATTTATGTCAACAAGTTTTTTTTAAATGTATATGAATATCAACTGCATGAATGTTATTGTGCTCACATAAATGCTTTCCTGGTATGATTCCATTATGATAAGTAAAAACTGCTGAGGATAGATTTAAAGATCCTGTAACGCAATTTCTTTATTGGTTTCATATCATAAATAATTATGATGTTCAAATTAAGATTTATCAATATTGTAAGTTCCAAAAAGCATTATTTATAAAGATGTTACCAAATTTAACATTTCATGTATATAAAGGAGGGTAATTAGAAATTTATTTTCTATAAAGTCTAAGTCAAATTTTTCAATAAGAAATGAATACATATATTTTAATGATTACATTAAATGTGGACAAATATTTGCAGTACATATTTTACATGTTTGAAAATTGTTTTATAAGCATAATTATATACATACATTGTATATAAAATTTCACTTAAGTGTGGTAACATCCTGGATTACAACATACAGGATCTTTAAAAAAAATCTTTTGTTTTGCTTTCTTCAAAAACTAAAATTACGCTATTTTTGGGATAGTATTGCTTTTAAAGGAAAACAATAACATGATCTTATATGATATAATGGAATAGAGGTTTGCAAAATATTTTTTTCAAACTGAGAATAAAGAGATAATTTATATTTGTTATACTATATATGAGCAGCGGATGCGCAGGCTGTTCTGGATGACCCATTATGTTGGTTTTGTCATGACGCGGCTCATATGTCTTCTCGGATGTTAATGTGATCAAATTGAAAAGACAAACTTTTAAAACAAGATAGTACTGTACCTTGGTCTACAAATTAGTTGGAATTGATATTAGATTCCTATGATAGCTCCGAGCTATTCTAATATAAAAACAAAAACAATATCAAATAACTCTGAATCTTTAATATAACATGAATAGTACTTCATATTATGAAGTTAAATACAACCTTCCAGTGGCATAATCTGAGGAGGAAGATTCACTTATTTGTACTGCTTCTACCTTCTTACAAATATCATCTCCACTAGCCTTTGTGCCTGTACTGTCATCATACATTGGGTAGCTGATATGCCTGTTTGGACTTTCTTTCTGTTTCCTTTCATATTTCTTAAAATAAAAGCCTTTCTCTACAGCTTATTGAATTATTCAAAAAATTCTTTGAAAAAATCAAATGTTAAATAAATTGCAAGATGTGTTCATACAAGGAAATAAATTTACATTTGAGAAAGTATTTGGTAAATATTTCTGTTTAACATCAAATCAATTAAGAATAAGTTAATTCATCTACATCTATATATTACTGCTTCAAAATATCAAACTGTCTTACTAAGCAGGTGAAGAAAATCGCTGTTTAAACAAATATATTAAGTGCAATTTAATATTGAAGTGTATAATCACCAGTTAACTGTTTTCTAAAAAGCAAAATTTTTTTTTGTTTTCTTTACATTTATGGTTATAGTAATTATTCGAAATAGTTTTAATATCAAAACTAACATTATCACTAAGAGTGGATCTTTTTGTTGGTGTATGATCATTGCTTAAACCAACAAAATAGGCAAATTCATTTTCTGTATCTCTTGAAATATTCTCCCAGCTTATTCTGCAAAAAAAAGTTATGTACATGTATAGTGTTACTTCTAACAATGCATCTACAAGTTTCATTTCAAATCATGAACTCTCTACATGGTCATTAATTTGACATAGATCTGCAAGCATTCAATATACCTAAAAAGTAACAATTAACCATAATTTAAAACTAAATAATTATTATGTAAAAAATAACTGATTTGATGAATAATTAATGAATAATTAACTGTAATGAAACACTGATATAAAAATTGTGAAACAAATGTTAAATGGCCCTTTATCACCCATGCTATTTTTATTTCACAAAAGCTTTTTATATTTGCTGCATGTCCTGTAACAGTTTCCAAAATGTTACTCCGATTGGCCAAATACCTTTTTAGGTCACATTCAGCACTATTTGCATCTCAAGTGTTTTAAATCCTTTACTATAACATTGTAAAACACATGTTTGCCTTAAATTGTACAGAATGGAAAATCTATTCATTCTTGAGGCTTAATGTGGCTTTTAAGTTTATGAAGTTACTTAACAGAAAATTACTGACCCATCTGCTGTAAAATGAAGCTGTTTGTCCTGCCCTTTAGTAGGTGTAGGTTTACTCTTAATGGTAATCCTTTCTTCTATTCTAGAAAAGAAAAATATATAGTAACTAGCCAAACCTTGAAATTAATCTTTATGCAGAATATTTTGCCAAATCTGTTTCAATTTTATCTATTATGTTTATGCAAAGATACAATGTACTTCTATTTCAAACTTCATGGAATATAATGAATTGTAAATTAAATTGGGGTGTAAAAATTAAAAATGTATAGTTATGAATGAAACCAATCTAATATTAGATCAAAGCTGTATTGCATCTGAGTAAAAGCAGAGAGCTAACTGCCCAAGTTTTAATATATATCTTTGGCATTGGTCTTTCTTCCTCATGTTTTTCCTAAATAACTGTTCATTAGTAAAAAAATTGCCTAAGCTCAAAAATGCCCTAGTCAAACCTGTTTAGGGGGTATAATTATTGCCCATTTATTTTGCTTAAAGCAGTTAGCTTTAAGAGGATAACTTAAAATCTATCATATAAATACTCAAAAACTGTGTTCAAAGATATAAGATATCACAAAGTTTATATGTGCATAAATTTTTTTGCAGTTTTGTTTTGCAATCTGCTATTCTGGGATATATACATGTAAATATACTAAACCATTCTTTCAACCATGTCATTACAAAAATAGTGAGGGTAAATAACAATCACTGATCGCAGTTTGCTGGACAAATAATTGATACGACAAACGATTGATACGACAAACAATCACTGATAGCCGAGGTTGTTGGCCAAATATAATATGACAGTCAAAATCTGTAATGCATTATTGTGTGCAGTCTCAGGCATGATATTGCTGACATAATTTATAACTGTCACGGTTCAGAACTGTTCACTAATTAGCGGAGAAATTTTGTAACCGGCCAGATAGCTCAATCGGTAGAGCCCCTGAACGTTATTCCAAGGGTCCCAGATTCGAGTCCTAGTCAGGCTGCATATATTTCTCACCCTGTGACTTTTGGCGCCCAACATGGGACCGTGACTGGAAATAGCTCAGAGTTTAATTTATATTGCTCTTTATTTACCTCTGAAATTCCAGGACAAATTTCAATATAGGAGGGAGGTGACGTCACGGTTCTGATATTTGTTCACTAATTAGGAAAGAAGATGTGTAATCGGCCAGATAGCTCAGTCATTAGAGCCGCTAAACGGTATTCTGAGGGTCCCGGGTTTGCATCCCGGTCAGGCTGCACATTTTTAATTCTCACCCTGTGACATTACTATAATTTGAACATTCCTCAGGTTTTACTTACTCTAGGTTAAAAATTACATTAAATAAAATACATGCTGTTATTTTTTTATGAATGATAATGAATTTAGTTAGTACTGTTATTTATTTCACTTAAGAAATGTTTGATGTTTACTTTGTTTTTTGAGGGTAATCATCTACAGCTCTTTCATTAAATCTCCAGCCATTTTCTCTCTCTGTTCGATTTTTCCTCTTCATCACAGGTGAAGCACCAATTTTACAACTATTTCTCATTATGTCAGTATTATATTCATTGTCATCCCTTGTTGGACGTTCTCTGTCCCTATCTTTCCTTCGTCTTCCTTCTAAATTACTATCTACATAACTGCTTGTGCCAGGCTGATTATCAGATTGTGGTTGGAGTGGTGGTCTTTTAGAGGAGTTTGGCCTTGAACCTGATCTAGACTGACCCCTTCCCTCATCATCATGTGGATGCAAGTGTTGAAAATGAATTTTTACAAATTCTTTAGTATCCTGATAAAAAAAAAAATTCAAGTGGTTTCATGTTGTTGTTTTTCTTTTTTTTTATAATACTTTTGCATGTTGTGTGTAAAAAAAAACAACCTACACAACTGGATACAAGCAGAAATATTTTATAAGCTGATACCAACATATAGAATATTTCTCTTTCTGTTTTTATTTGGAAAAGAGAGGGGTTCAAGTAAAAAAACATGTAAATTTACCAATTGAGTTACTGCTCAGACACAGAAGATCAGAAGTTGTCAATAAATTTTGTTCATTAATTTTCTCTTTGTACAAAAAATTTGGAAAACCAGTAAAAAACCAGTATCATTACTAAATTAATATTTAACTGTTACTCTCTGCAAGTTTTATGAAGTACAGAAACATGCAAACCTTTGGAGCTGCTTTCAGCAAGTCTCTTACATGTAGAAATGAAAGTTGTCTATTTGTTGGATCCAGTTGTAAACCATAATCTAATATGATTCTGTAATATTCTGGTACCTTTCCATTGACTACTTTTATACCTTCACCTTTACTGTAACGAGTTTTTATACTCTCTGAGCACTGGTTGTCCCATGGTACTTCCCCTGTTTCATAAAACAAGGCATTTAAAGGTGATTTCATTTTCTCTCTCACACTTTCAATGTTTTAAAATATACAAATAAATTAGTCAAGATATTAATGTAATAAATTCTATCGAACAATCTTTAAAAATATTGTGACTTGTTGACACAAACTGCCCTAAATAAATGAAATTTAAACATGTATAAGTAGTGATATATTTAGCAAGATATATGTACATTGGCAAAAAAGAAGAAAGCTCTTTACCAAATTGACAGCTTTTGACACAAAAATGCCTGAGCTATTTGTCAATTGAAATTAAAGAATTAAATTTGTTTTGGCTCGATCCTAGCAGTAATGCTACAAAGTTAAAAAAAAATGTAAGAATGAACATTACCATGAAACATTTCCCAAAGAACAGCACAGAAACTAAACATATCACAGTAAAAAGAAGGTGGCATGTTGAACATGACTTCTGGCGCCATCCAATTATAGACTGCATTCTCTTCTGTATTGGATGCCACAGCACTTTTCTTTCCCCACTCACATTTTGATCTGAATAAAACTAGAAATGAGTTCATGAGACACTTATATTCCCACACTACTATGTTTTGTCAGTGTTTGGAAGAATAGTATGATATCAGGACAACCTGATATGCAGACAAGGGAAAATTTACATCCCCCATCCCCTACAAATATTTTAATAAACGGATATGACAGTGTCTGTGTATGTTGCTTATGGAACTATCTTGGACATAATAACTTTATAATATTATATTATACCTCATTTGCATACGCCCTTCTATTTTTAATATGACATCATCCGGTCCATAAACCGCATACAGACCGGGGGCGGTCCATAATTCTTATGAAGACTGTTTAAACGTAACTTTTACGACATACAAAGGGTTTGAAATATATCCCACACACTGAACAAGTAAAATTATTATTTGAAATTCTAACACGACCCGCATTTTTCCCTATTGAACATAGAAGAACCGAAAGTGTGTGTTATTATGCAATAGAGTCACTGTTTGACGCTCTATATTTAGACATGTGACGTAATCATTATACATGTGACGTAACCACAATAAAATCCGACGCTCTGACAATTAGTACGGAAACAAACCAGGCGCAATTTTGCTTAATAGCAGGTACGGCAGCATTTTTTTGTTTATGTCGTGTTAGAATCGAAATAATATATCCAAATCGGTGATTTTATCGCTGGATAACATCACTGTTTGTCGTTCAGATGCGCATCATTATATCACTCGGGCTACGCCCTCGTGATATAATTCCTCGCATCCGAACTCCAAACAGTGATGTTATTGAGCGATAAAATCACAGTTTGGGATATATTATTTCTTAAGTAAATAATAGTAAAAATGACAGCACTCTTTAAAAACAAAGGAACGAAAGGATTTAGATTCGGTATAATATAACAAATAAAACATGGCCTTTCGGACAAAATGCAAGTTTACGGACTGGTTGGTCAGACCTCGGAAGGTATATGTCCCTCAGCTGCGCTTCGGGCCATATACCTTCCTCAGTCTGACTAACCAGTCTGTAAACTTGCATATTTCCCTCAAGGTCATGTTTTATTTGTTAAATAACAGACCTTTATGGGTATTTATAGGAATCAGCTTTCTATCTGCCCTTTTATTCTTGTCTAGAAAATACATCTCTTGTACCAGACTTTTATTATAAATGAATGCCCATAAAATAGTCTCCCCTTTTCACAGAAACAAGAATAAATCCTATTGTTTATGTGGTTTCCTTTTATTAGCTAATATTAAAGATTATGGATGGAATAATACTTGCAAACCATTATATAACCATAATACACAGGCAAAGTTAACTCAGGTTTATACAAAAATGTGTAATAGCTCAACACCAAATTTTTAATTACATAAGGAGGGGGGAAAAGGCTGATAAGTTTAATTTTAGGAAGTACAAAATTAGTACTGGCACTATGTAACTATGTCCATTAAATGGCATTACCTTTTTTCTTAAGTCTTCCTAAGTTTAAAATTCACCAGGCTGTTTGAAACTACAAGAACATGTTTTTCATTGACATTAAAAATACTTACGCCTCTATCATGTACTCAAAGTTCCCAAGTTTGAAAGTGTGTGTACTTATAACACTTATAGCATGTGATGTAATAGAACAATGAACAAGTCCTTGAAGATGTATAAATATTATAGCATCGCACATCTGTAGGGCTATATCATCTATCATCTGTGTGTGCAATCTTTCCATCTGTTAAGGGAAATATCAAGTGCATAAATTAAAATTATTGAATACAAAATTAACACTGCAATACTTTTTTCATTTTGTTTAATGGTATAACTTAAATAAAGCTGCTACATATACAGAGGGTCTTTATATTATACAGAGTCAAATTTAGCATTTAAAATTTTGATGCTTCAACTGCTTTCCAAGAGGGTCTCTTGTATAAATAAAAGGTACAAAAGTCAAACTTTTAACAAAAACCTTAGAAATGGCATTTTATTTATTGAAACATATTAAAAACAGTCAAACCTTGGACAATACATATGTTCTTGCTAATAAATGATCTGTTCTGATAATGTTTATGGGTAGATGCATGGACCACCAAGCTTGTTATATAAATAAATATCTGAAGCATCATTTTATGGAAATAATTAACAGCAATTAAAAATTGTGTAGTATAAATTTCTTATTGTCAGGAAGGCACTTGTTTAAGTTAACACACTTGTTGTTGATTATTGTGCATTTCTAGGATTGACAACAGTGCTTTCCAAGGTCAATTTAGCACCGAAATTTGGCCCCATTCTCCTCTCCAAAAAGAATATATCTCCTATTTCTGAAAAAATTTCCCCTCCAAAATTAAAAAAAAATGATGTTTTGTTGAGATACATAAGCTATCACAGATTGGGGTATTGTAGTTTGAAATGATAATTGTATTGCATCACAATTAACATAAAAGAACAGTTTTTTCTATTTCAAAATTTTCCCTTTTTTGCTTCCAGGACTTTGAGAAGTACTTGAGCTTTATAATGAAAGAAAGTAATTTGATATTATTAGCCAAACCTTTTGATGAAGATAATTGTACAAAGATCCACCTGCAATTCTTTCATAAACAAGGATCATTCCATCTAAGTTGCTAGTTTGACATACACCCATCAATGTCAAAACATTTGGATGTCTTAACTTTCTGAAGTTTTGAATGAATCATAAGAATTAAATTGCAGGTCATTCACATACTAAACAAAATTGATAATTAACTGATACAGACTAAAACTAGAAATGTGTCATCATGCCACGGATGCCCCCGCATGCAGCCATTGAAATTTCAGATGATATAATATTTAGTTCCAAATTTGTTTGCACAAAGTATTTTTTTCATTTAAGTTCAAAGCCCTTAAAACTTTTCAATGTTAACACAAACCATTTTCATACAATGTTCAAGGCACTGAAATTATTCAGTCTTAACCTTTTGAAAATAGCATATTGCATATTTGTAACCAAAATAACGGCTACATACATTTCCACAAAAGTATGAGTGCTGAAACTGAAAGTTCAAAATTTTTCCAACACTCAGGAAAGATCATTGAAGCACGACCAAATTCAAACTTAAACTGCTTATTCCTAAGATGTATCTATATTATTTTCAAAGTGAAAGGGACATAACTCTGCCAAAAAATCATCGAACCATGACCAAATTCCAACTTGACCTGCCCATTCCTTTGACATATCCATATGTCAAATTTGAGTTGAATATGTAACACTGATGGGTTAATGAACAGGAACTGTAAATTTCATATTATTTTCAAAGTGAAAGGGGCATTACTCTGCCAAAAAATCATTGAACCATGACCAACTTTGAACTTGGCCTGGGCATTCCAAAAACATATCCATATGTCAAATTTGAGTTGAATGTGTTGTACCGTTGGGGAGATAATAAACAGAAACTGAAAATTTGATATTATTTTCAAAGTGGAAGGGGCATAACTCTGCCAAAAATCATTGAACCATGACCAAATTTGAACTTGACCTTGGCATTCTTTGACGTATCCATATGTCAAGTTTGAGTTGAATGTGTTGTACTGTTGGGGAGATAATGAACGGAAACTGAAAATTTCATATTATTTTCAAAGTAAAAGGGGCATAACTCTGCAAAAAAAATCATCGAACCATGACCAAATTTGAACTTAACCTGTATTTTCTCATGACATATCCATATGTCAAGTTTGAGTTGAATGTGTTGTACTGTTGGGGAGATAATGAACGGAAACTGAAAATTTCATATTATTTTCAAAGTAAAAGGGGCATAACTCTGCAAAAAAAATCATCGAACCATGACCAAATTTGAACTTAACCTGTATTTTCTCATGACATATCCATATGTCAAATTTGAGTTGAATGTGTTGTACCGTTGGGGAGAGAATGAACGGAAGCTGAAATTTTCATATTATTTTCAAAGTAAAAGGGGCATAACTCTGCCAAAAATCATTGAACCATGACAAAATTCGAACTTGACCTGTACTTTCTCATGACATATCCATATGTCAAGTTTGAGTTGAATGTGTTGTACTGTTGGGGAGATAATGAACGAAAATGAAAATTTCAAATTATTTTAAAGTAAACAAGAGGGCCATGATGGCCCTGAAGTCGCTCACCTGTATATAGGCCCCTGGAGCAGAGCCAGTTTAAACCCCAGGGCTTTTATTTGAACAAACTTGGTAGACAACCATAAGAAGATGTTTCATGCTAAACATCTAAGGTCTAGCTCATTGGGTTTTCAAAAGAAGATTTTTAAAGTTTTTTTCTTTAAACATTTAGTTAAAAACAATGGGGCAGGGCCAGTTTTGACCCAAGGGCTTTTATTTGAACAAACTTTGTAGACACTCACTAGAAGATGCTTCATGCTTAATATCTAAGCTCTAGCTATTTGAGTTTTTTCAAAGAAGATTTTTTAAGTTTTTGCTATATGAACACAAAAGGAAAATCAATGACCCCCGGGGCGGGGCCAATTTTGACCCCAGGGCTTTTGTTTGAACAAACTTGGTAGACATCTATTAGAACATGTTTCATGCTAAATATCTTAGCTCTAGCTCTTTGGGTTATTTAAAAGAAGATTTTTTAGTTTTTACTTTATGCACATAGGGAAAATCAATGACCCCCTGGGGCGGGGCCAATTTTGACCCCAGGGCTTTTATTTGAACAAACTTGGTAGACACCTATTAGAACATGTTTCATGCTAAATATCTTAGCTCTAGCTCTTTGGGTTCTTTAAAAGAAGATTTTTTAGTTTTTACTATATGCATATAGGGAAAATCAATGACCCCCTGGGGCGGGGCCAATTTCGACCCAAGAACTTTTATTTGAACAAACTTGGTAGACATCCATTAGAACATGTTTCATGCTAAATATCTTAGCTCTAGCTCTTTGGGTTCTTTAAAGAAGATTTTTAAGTTTTTACTATATACATATAGGGAAAATCAATGACCCCCTCGGGCGGGGCCAATTTTGACCCCAGGGCTCTTATTTGAACAAACTTGGTCAGACATCCATTAGAACATGTTTCATGCTAAATGTCTTAAATCTAGCTCTTTGGGTTCTTTAAAAGAAGATTTTTAAGTTTTTACTCTATGTATATAGGGAAAATCAATGACCCCTGGGGCGGGACCAATTTTGACCCCCGGGGCTTTTATTTGAACAAACTTGGTAGACATCCATTAGAAGATGTTTCATGCTAAATATCTTAGCTCTAGCTCTTTGGGTTCTTTAAAAGAAGATTTTTTAAGTTTTTACTATATACATATAGGGAAAATCAATGACCCCCTGGGGCGGGGCCAATTTTGACCCCAGGGCTTTTATTTGAACAAACTTGGTAGACACCCACAAGAAGATGTTTCATGCTAAATATCTTAGCTCTAGCTCTTTGGGTTCTTTAAAAGAAGATTTTTTAAGTTTTTACTATATACATATAGGGAAAATCAATGACCCCCTGGGGCGGGGCCAATTTTGACCCCAGGGCTTTTATTTGAACAAACTTGGTAGACACCCATTAGAAGATGTTTCATGCTAAATATCTTAGCTCTAGCTCTTTGGGTTCTTTAAAAGAAGATTTTTTAAGTTTTTACTATATACATATAGGGAAAATCAATGACCCCCTGGGGCGGGGCCAATTTTGACCCCAGGGCTTTTATTTGAACAAACTTGGTAGACACCCACTAGAAGATGTTTCATGCCAAATATCTAAGCTTTAGCTCTTTGGGTTTCTTAGAAGAAGATATTTAAAGTTTTTTCTTTTGGTTGCCATGGTAACCAGAGTTCTGCATGGAATTAAATTCTTTGAACAATTTTCAAAGGTGACCACCAAAGGAACATTCCTGTGAAGTTTGGATGAAATTGGCTTTGTGGTTTATGAGGAGATGTCATTTAAAGTAAAAGTTTATGGACGACGGACTGACGCCGGACGGACGGAGGGACGAAAAGCGATCACAAAAGCTCACCCTGTCACAAAGTGACAGGTGAGCTAAAAAGGCCTTAACTCTGCCAAAAATCATCAAACCATGACCAAATTCAAACTTGACCTGTATTTTCTCATGACATATCCATATGTCAAATTTGAATTGAATGTGTGCAACCGTTACTAAGATAATGAACGGAAACTGATGACGACGGAATGACAGAATGACGGAACAGGGTAACACTATATGCCCCGGCCATTACATGGCGGGGGCATAAAAATAAGACTGAAATGATAATAAATACAAGCTTTTTTAAATGATAAAACTGTATCAAGAATTATAAGCATATATCATATCATGATATAGTATCAATTACAAACATTTATTTCTGTCTTTTTTTTCAAAACAGATGAACACTGCTACTGGAGACAAAAACATCCCTACCATTTCTTTTGCAAAGTATTTATGTAGGTCCATTTATCATCATTTTTTTAAGAAAAACATTTCAACTACATTTGAAGAAAGTCCTTCCAGGAATGTAGAGTTTAAAAGGCAAACAAAAATTGTGTTATCTTTACCTTCAAGGTGACCTAGACTTTGATCCAGCACAACAACAGCATGGGTTTTGCTCATTGCCTTGTTGAGGTTAACATTTATGCTAATTTTGAAGAAAATGCTTTGAGAGGTATAAGATTTATAAAACCCTCCAAGTGTAACAATGACCTTAAGTGGGCATATGTTCTGCATACCACTTATCTTTGTTGATGTGAAAACATAACTGAGGCAAATCCGAATAAAAGCACACAAAAAATTGTCTAACAAATTGTGACCCTAAGTCCTTTAGCTGGCCCAGCGCCACATAGGTTCTGCACATCACCTGGTTGAACATTTGAGGCAAATTTGAAAAAAATCCTTCAAGGATGTATAGCATTCTTAGAGCAGACACTGTGGAAAAGATGCACAGACTGACTAACAAACAGACAACAAAATAATTCCAGTATAAGACCTCTCCATATTAAGTGTTAGGGGTATAATGACGAACAGGGAGACACATTAAGGCACAATAGGTTACCGAAGACTGAAAACACATTTGAAGGCTCTTATTTTATATCTGGTGTCACATATTTTACAGCATGCACATCTTACCCAATATATTCAACTTCATTTATGAGTAAATCAACAACTCCTCCTTGATAAGGATCAACTTCTCTATGCAGCCTCTTTACAGTCACTTGACTGTAATCCCACCATGCACTGTATCAATAAAATAACATTAATTGTGATCAAGTAAAGAATTGTTAAAGCTACATGCCTCCAGATGAGCAAAAATATTTCAAGAGAATCAAACCCAAGAAAAATGTACTAAGATTATAAGACAAGTAAAAAGATTCAGGATTTAAGTAATAATTTATATGTTATGTAAGATTAATGATTTATTTTTCAGTATTTATAACCATGCATATTTCTACTGAGTCACTAACACAGTAAAGGCTATTTTTTGATATTTTTACCTCATTTTGGTAATATACGTGGATTGTGAGAGCTGTTTGTAATGTGTAAGTTACTTAAAAATATTTTAATTCTTTAAAAACATTTTCTAAATGTTCATGAAAATTAGCATGTATCTAGCGGCATGCTGCTTTAAAATCATTTTTCAAGAACTGTTTTTGGAAATCATTATTGATTTGTTTTAATTTTTAATTCTGTTTGTAATTTTTTAAAAATAAGCTTCAACTTAAGAAAAAAGTTGTATGTTATATAAACACATTCTTATAATAAAATGTACTCCATATTTCTGAATTTTCTAAAACTTAAAAAAAATAAATAGAATTTGACCAGTAAGATAAAGTTACATAATACCTTTCCATAACACAGAATGCACCATTGTTGTATGTCTCTCCATCAGGATCATGTTTTAGGTTGTTTTCAGTTACAAGAGGTATTGCTGATATAAATCCTGTCTTGTCTGTACCATTTGAATAAACCTAAAAATTTTGAATGATTTATGCAAGGGAAGTAATTTAGTCAAAAGGTACACAAAGTGTAACATAGTAGCTTCCCTTTCAATATTATATTTAAATAATCATTATGCATGGAAGTTTTGTTAGTTTTGAAGTATTTCTAATTTTTGTCTATTAAATTTCATCTTGACAAATGTGTAGGTATAACAATGAGCCATATTAGTATTAAGCATGAAAATGTACACAAATTTAAATGACACTCATCTTGACAATTACATCATTTGAAAAGCAACTTTTTTATATCTATTTAATTTGCAAGAATTCTTTCTTTAAAATGAATATCAGAAATCCATGCTATTGTTTGACACTTTTGTTTAATAAACAATTGCATCCCTTAACTCAAAGCAGTTGATCAATCAAAAATAATCAATGAAAAATGCCTATGATTAATCATTTATGATTAAAGTGATTGATGTTGTATATATAAACTGTTAAGTCTCATGCGAAATGTTTAAATAATCTTACCTGTCCAAATCCTACTGAATGACGACTAGTTGCCATTCTTTCTAGATCAGCATGGACTGACGGTCTACCAATTCTGTCTCTTATTATCTTTGTGACAGAATTCTTTCTGTTGAAAGCTCTGTTTCCAAAAAAAATATATGGTTTATTTATAGTGTTATTCCTAGAAGTAAAAGGTAATCTTGTTTTGAACTTTTTCTTACAGTCCAATAGATTCCTTCCCTCAAACGCATCACTATTAATATTAATTTGATTAATCTTTGGAAAAGATCAAATAAAGGCTTCATGATTATTAGCTGAATAAAATTCAAATAAAGTTGTTAAAACCTAATTTCCTTGATTAAGTATCATACATAAGTCTAATATAAAGTATTTATAGAAAACAAATAATTAGTTTTATTTTTTTCCTGTTTAATTTTACGTTTATAATATTTGATTATTTCAAAGTCCATCTGTTTGCATTAAAGTGTATAAAGCTATATCTAAAGCAATATTTTGATAAAATTCATAAAAAGTATAATATGTTGTTTGGAATACATAGAATGCCTCTTGTTTTTTAACATGCATGATAATGGTTGTAAGCTGAATAAAATGTTCCAGAACATAAAGTTATGCTGCTATTTCAAGTATTGTTTTCACCTTTTAGCAATTATTTTGTGCATGTGCCATTTGCTCTTTTAAGGAAATATCTAAATATAATTTTTTTCATACAGATATTTTGGTCAAAATTAAAACAATGGTTTAGCAACAAATATATTAAGCTTTATACACACTAATATTAAAACTGTTATTGAAAATAAATAAATTCGAAAGCACTAGTACAAAATTTCATTTTGAAAATTACATAATGAGGAAATGATTAAAATTATTTGTCTTAAATTAAGCAAAACACACTTGAAATAACAGTATAAAAAAAAAATGAAAAAAAGTCAAGTACTAGCTTGTATCTAAATAATAACCTATTACCTATGCAAAGTTTTCGATGATGCTTTCTTTAGCAGTAAATCTTGACCAGATCCAGACATGGCAAACATTCTTGTCTTGTCAAGGAATTCTAAAATCTTCATCCTCTTCTTAGGTGCAGGATTAAGTATTGCCCAGTCTTTCACACTTCTTCCATGATAATCATGTAATCTTAAATCTCCACCTTCTTTTAGCAATTTAAGCAAAATTTTCACACTTCCTAAGTAGCATGCAGCATGGAGAGGAGTAAGCCCTTGATTTGTCTTTCTAAAACCATGAAAATGATAGAAATAAACCAATTCTGAAATCACAATGATATCAGAGCTTAAACTTTGCATATTGTATACAGTCTGACCCTGGTTATTCGACAACCCTGACCCTGGTTATTCGACAACCCTTTATTTGAATACCCGGCATTATAGAAGTAGATCGGCTGTCCCCATTTTATCTCTATATAATTCAATATAAATACAAAGGTATTATTCAAATTACCTCCTATCTTTTGAAGTAAAAATTCCGTCTCGAATATACAATTATGACAGAATTTCACACCTATTTTTGGAAGCCAGACTAACTGCCGCTAATCCACTTGCTGACCATCAAAACTGTGGAAATTTTGTACAACCATACAATCGTGATAATTACGCCTGTTTTTAAGTTAACTTTAATTACCAAAAATTATTTGTATGCAATTATTGGATGGTAAAAAGTAATTAATCTAATAATTTGAATTTAAAGATGAAAGTAAACAATTTAAGTAAAGAAGCACACACTAACATATATTTCTATATGAATACTGACAAAAATCCTTTTTTATTTCAAATAGGTGCATTATGTCCATAGCACAATAAATCCTTATATATTAATAATTGAATATGTATCTTGTCTATGATTAAAATTCTGTACATTGTCAAATGATGTTACTGTTAATGCTTGACAATGGGTAACGTGTTGCTGTTGGTACCAGTTTTGACTGGATGACTAAAGAACCCAGCGGACAGTTTTCACAGATTTTAGATGTGCCCCTGGCCCTCAGCTGCCGATTTTCCTGCGCCATTCTCAAAAATCTCTTCCTTGGCAGATCTCTGCGAACCCAACGATGATTCCAAGTAAATTTTCAGTCCCCAGCAATTCAAGTAATCGAGGTTGGACTGTAGTAGGAATTGTCTTACAAATTTTCAAAAGAATCTAGTCACCAATGGCCTTGAGGTCATCCGGAGATTGTGGAATTGACACCTGTCAAGATCACAATCATGATGCCTCATATAATGGCACCAGTACTGGTAAGTTCCAGGAAGGGTTTCAAATATTAAGTTTCAAGCTTTCAATTCACAAGCTTAAAATGTATTTATCCCTTAAATAAGATCTGAATCTAAGTAATTTTAACAGTTTTGTATTATTCAGACAAATTGGTGCATATATATATGCCTTTAGCTAAAGAAGAATAAAAATTACACAAATATGTTTATTAATTATCAACAATTATTTAACCATATCATGATACATAAATGTTTTGGATTAAGTGTCTAAAAAAAGTCTCTATAGACTGAGATAGTCAATAAAAGATGGCATCAGTATATATTTGTACTTCTAATTTTATACACTGAAACTACAACAATGATTGTTTGTTTGTTTAATTGGGTGTTACGTCACACTGACACAGTATTGGTCATGGCGACGTTCCTGCCTTTCTGGTGTTGGAAGACCTCAGGTGCCCTTCTGTGCATTATTTCAGGCATGAATGGCAACGATGATTGAGAAACAGAGAATATATCTTAAAGACTTTAGAAAACAAGCCAATGCAAATACGTATAACTGGACTGAAAAAGTTATTAAAAATAATGATGTCATACTCATTAGGATTAGCTCCTGATGATAGGAGGTAGGAGGCAACAGATTCATTTCCACCTAGACAGGCACAGAATAAAGGTGTTTGACCTTCATCATTGGGATAATCAACATGAATACCTGGAAATAAAGTTCAATCATTCACTTGGTTAAACCAATATCTGTAACACATTTATTTACAATTTTACTAACATTGCAACTTGAAAAAAATCTGTTTTATACAGTGAATTTCACAACAACAACAACATGAAATAATTATAAAAACCAAAGAAAAAAATAGTTATTTGCACAAAATTTCTTACCTCATTTCTGGCAAGGGAAATCATGGTACAGCTATCATTTTAGAATGTGCCAATTAAGGGACAAGGGAGTAAAACTTTGGATTGTTTTCCACTTGCCAAATGGTAAGTTAGACAGTTTGTTTGTTCATTTCGTTTTACAGTGCACCAACCCAGTTTAGGTCATATGGCATTGATGGAGAGATCATTTTGACTAACCTGAGTTGTTACAATCTTCAAAGCAACATTAGCACACCGTATTACCGGCGGCAGTGATGGCAGATCACTGCAGTGATGGCAGATATCTGAAAATTACCGATCGGTACAGGTAGGTTATAAATTTGGTTGGTTTAATTATATTACACAAATACGGCCCATATCATTGCTATAAAACTATTGTCCATTGAATGGAGATATTGTAAGGTTATTTTGGACTCGTTTTTTCCTGTTTTCAGACTATTTTGAGCAGGTTAAAAGTGAAAGCCTTGGAAAAAATCCGTGATAATGTCTGTTTTCTGTTCGAAATATCTCAAGTTTTAAGTAAATGGCAGGATTTCCTGTTATCAATATAGACGTTCATCCATTGGGGTCACGCAAGCCAAATATCTACCCCGTGAGTCTTTTCTTGAAAGTTTTACAGACGCTCAATCTTGTCCGGTCGAAGAAAAAATGCTGCCGTTGTAGGCAGATACATATTATAAATGCTGCCGTCGATGGCAGAAATACCACGAAAGTGGCTAACATTCTGACAGAAAATCAAGTTCAATCTTTTATCATTTCCTCTTTTCTTTGCGTCCTTTTAGTCGGAATTGAGACGTTAAACTATCATTTCTAATATTTTCTCAAGATAGAAAAGTTATTAATGCGGTGTGTGCATCGAAAAAAGCTTTTTAGCAACATGCAGTTACAGTACAAAACGTGATGATTTAGTACGACAAAATTTCACTATAAATAGAGAAATGAACATGAAAAACTTCATTTTTCTATATTCATGCATGTGTGCTTGATCTGTTCATATGAATTGAAAGGTCAAAAAAGAGAAAAAGAATATAACAAATCAAAAAAATCTAGTTTTTTTCCTATAAATACAGGATTTATTTTTATCTTGTAATATGAATCATCGAAAGGTTCATCTTTATAAGTTGCCATGGTTACAACTAAAATGAATGAAAAAATATATAATTAAATGGGAGCACGTGATGTTAGAACTGTTGTTAATAGTTTAGCATAGTAAATGTAATTCAAAGGCAAACTACAACGCTATTACAAACATGAAAATCTAAAGAAATGACTCCACGTTGTCGTGTTTTTCAAGAACTTGATAATATAGGAAAATATTTGAACTGTCAATAATATTATCTTTCCATTTTACATTAACATACATTGTTTTATGATACACTGATGCCAGTTGCGAGGTTAATAGTCTCCCCTTTATGGCATCAATTTAATAATTTATAATCTGCGCTGATTAAGTAAATTTCAGCCTTTATTTGTCATAAAGCGATGAACATTATTACCTCGAGAAAATAATGTCATATGCTAGCAAATGAATATCCACTTACAGAAGTTACTTGCTGTAATATGCAATTGGCGTTATGTCTTAAAAGGGAGTGCGCTGCTAAACTTAAGATACATATAGTATTGTATGCATGTAACTGACAGACACAACAGATCAAGCACACATGCATGAATATAGAAAAATGAAGTTTTTCATGTTCATTTCTCTATTTATAGTGAAATTTTGTGGTACTAAATCATTACTTTTTGTATTGTAACTGCATGTTGCTAATAAGCTTTTTTTTCGATGAACAACCGCATTAATGAAAAAAATCTACAAAACAGCAATTTTTCTTCAATATTATATGTGAGGCCATGTTTTAACATGGAAAAACGCGTTTTTGGGTAATTTCGTTTTTTTTTTCATCATTTTCTGTTAACCCATTACCAGATATATACGCCTTTCTACGCCTTTTTCACCCTCACCCCTCCTTTTTGCTTTCTCAAATGGTGAAAAAAATGCCTTATTTAGGCCCCCAAACACTTGTTTTTGTTTGATAAATGTTGTTTAAAAAATTGATCATTTTTTCGGCGCGGCCCCCCCCCCCCATCCAAAAGATACATCAGGGGGTTGCCAGAAGGGGGATGTGCCCCCTTCTGTTTGGGGGGTTTGAAGGGGGGCTGAGTCCCCCTCATCGCCAAGAAAACTTTGGACTTGTGGGAGGCTAAAAATGGCCCCAGGTCGATCATAACGTAACGTGTAACCAATGCTGAAAAGCCTTTGACTCTGTCTCAATCCATTGAGAAGTGGCAGCACTTTGAATTCAATTTTGATGGAAAAAATCAACGCAAAATAGTGATTTTTGGCAAGTTTGAGATGTCCCCTAGTTGCTATGGTAACAGGAAATTTCAGACTGAACATGTTGTTACAAAGGCAATGGTCCAGTCAACATTTGTGCCAAGTTTGATTAGTATTGAAGCAGTTTTTATAGTTTTATAGCAACTTGAACTTGTAACGGGAGACCGTTCAATGAAAACAGCCATTTTTCACAAGATGCTCATGGGGTAATGGGTTAATAACTTTTCTATCTTGAGAAAATATTAGAAATGATAGTTTAACATCTCAATTCTGACTAAAAGGACGCAAAGAAAAGAGGAATTGATAAAAGATTGAACTTGATTTTCTGTCAGAATGTTAGCCACTTTCATGGTATTTCTGCCATCGACGGCAGCATTTATAATATGTATCTGCCTACAACGGCAGCATTTTTTTTTCGACCGGACAAGATTAAGCGTCTGTAAAACTTTCAAGAAAAGATTCACGGGGTAGATATTTGGCTTGCGTGACCCCAATGGATGAACGTCTATATTGATAACAGGAAATCCTGCCATTTACTTAAAACTTGAGATATTTTAAACAGAAAACAGACATTTTCACGGATTTTTCTAAGGCTTTCACTTTTAACCTGCTCAAAATAGTCTGAAAACAGGAAAAAAACGAGTCCAAAATTACCCTACAGTATCTCCATTCAATGGACAATAGTTTTATAGCAATGAAATGGGCCGTATTTGTGTAATATAATTAAACCAACCAAATTTATAACCTACCTGTATCGATCGGTAATTTTCAGATATCTGCCATCACTGCAGTGATCTGCCATCACTGCCGCCGGTAATACGGTGTGATTAGGGTTCAAAACCCCCACCTAATCTAGCTAAGACATGTACAGACTCTAGATATTCAGACCCATTTATTTGCTTCTTACAATCATGCAACTCTGAAGCTGTAATTCGGAAAGTGTATTCTCAGCATAGAAAATGTATATTTCATGAGATTAATCAATTTTCCCCATAGTTAACAGAGTAAAGGGACAGAAATACAGTATTTCTTTATTCATTTGTCAGCAGACATTTTTAGTGCTAAAGGAAACTTTTAACTTTTCCGCAGGCAAATAGTCTTGAGTAGAATGGGTCTGGCATAGGATTTCTTCATTTACATGTCAAATAAAGCCAGCCAATTCAATGAACTTTGACATTTAATTTTCATTGTTGATTTTAAAAATCAAAATACCTTGTTGAAGAACCTTTTTCAAGGTCTTCTTGTTACCAACCAAAGCTGAATGATGCAATGTTGTACCAAGCCTATCACTAGAGTCCATCTGACCAACTGATATCAACTGTTCCATTTGTCTGAAACAATATATTCAATACAAAAATGTTACGTATACCATTCAAATTTCCTATTTATTTTAAGTTTGCTCATAGAATTTGATGCATACAACAATGTGCTTATAATATACAGTCAAACATTGTTTGCTCGAACATGGAGGGCCTATTAATGCAAATTTGTTACAGATCGATAGTTTGAGCCAACCAAGGTTGAAATATTATCACATAGAACATAGGCCTAAAGGTTTTCCAGCTAATACATGATAACATCTGTCAAATGATAAATATGTCAACATAATTAGTTGTTAGTACTTCAGTTTGTCGAATAGGTCATTTCTTTTAAATATTAACAAATGAGTATTAATAGGTCATTTCTTGTAAATATTAACAAATGAGTGTTAATTTTATCTATATTCCAGACTTCCTGAAATACATCGGTCCGTCGGACATGTCTGATAAATTTTGATTTATAGGTCAGATGATTTTTTATTCCGGATCAGTCTGACTGTCCGGCTTTTATCCAAGTTGCATGTATACAAAATGGAGTCCCTAAAGGTGCCAAACCTGGGGAAAAACGAAAATCGTAACATCAGAGGAGTGCGCAGAACAGCAGTTAAAGGATGAAAATAATAGACCTGAGACATAATTCAATGAAAAATGGAAGCAGGACTGTGAATTGTTGGGGTATGACAGGGAGGAGATGAAAATGCGCTGTTCAGACTGTGACGATTTTAACGGCGAAAAATTAAAACCGAAAAGTGTCTTAGAAATACAAACACAAGTTTTCCTTTGATTTTGGTTAATTTTATTCAGTCCGACAGATTTCGTTTCGGTCCGACAGATTTTCATGGTTTGTCAGAGTGAGACCGAATGTCTGCAACTTTTTTTTAACTTTCTGGAAGTCTAATATTCATGCATATTGTAAATGGTTGAGTTTGATTGGGCAAACATTTTACAATTTTAAATGGTTGAGATTGATTGGGCAAACATTTTACAAACTTGTTGAACAGTGTTCAAAATATATTTATGTTTATTATGGGATAAATTTTATTTCAAACAATTAATTAATAAAATAGGTCAAAAAAATAATTTTACACCAGCATCTATTTGTAGTCATTTACTAAAATAAAAACAAGTACAAGTATCATTCTATGAATAGATAGCACAGTTACAATACACATTATATATACCAATGGCTGTAATTAAAGCCGGTCGGGTAAACATCATTTATTGACCTTTGCACATTTCACTTACATGTATTTCAAGAGTTATTTTCTTTTTATCGTTACTAAAGACGGCAAATAAACAATGTTATCATAACAAACAAATCAGTTACAACACTTCTAATTTTGTATCCATTAACCTTAATCGCCTTTATCCTGAGGTGCATGTGTCACAGGCTGTTACTTATTCAGAACATGTCGACCCGAAACTTTTGTTGTCTTTTTGTGTTTGACCGAGGTGTGATTTTCACTATATTTCTGCCAAAGGGACCTGAGATGAGGTTAAAGAGTTTGAGCGATCTGGGTTGTTTCTAAATTCAAAATTTTACTATTTCACGTTTAAATGTTGAATTCTGCTTAAGCCGGTGCTAGGGGGCGTGGACGGTAATTTGCACTTTCCAGTACCGTCCATGAACAGGCTCAATCAAACCGAGCCTGCAACATTTTCAATTTTGCCGTGTTGGGCTTTCTTTAGGGATTCTATATTTATCTATTTTATTGAGTGATCCGAGGTAGATCAATATATATAATATAGGAACTTTGCCTGGACTGGGCGATGAGTTCGAGCAAAGCGAGGTTTTCAAGTGATCCGAGTTCGAGTGAACGAAGCTTAACTGTACATGTACATTAAAGCTGCCTATATACAAATAGTTTTGCAGGAAATGTTAGGTTCATTAATATAGGAGGGAAGTATCCCTTTTTGATGCAAATTTTGTAAGCACAGACTTCCCTAAATACATCAGTCTGACGGACATATCCGATAAATTTTGATTAGGTCGGACGATTTTTTATTCCGGATCGGTCCCACTGTCCGGCTTTTATCCAAGTCGCTTTTATCCAAGTCGTAAGGGCCAAAACACCATTTTTGGGGAAGGGGCCTCAGCCTTTTTCTTGGGGAAAATATGCGTGATTTTGGCATACTTTGGGAAAAGGGGTCTCAAATTAACACAAACTTTTAACATGGTCTTCAAAATAGAAAAGCAAAAAGCACTGGAAAATACTAATAAGGCAGTAAAAGACCTTATTTCAACACCATCATTTAATTTTGTACTAAATTCTATGGGAAATTTCAAAAGACTGGGGAATTTAGAGGACCAAACTGGGGAAAGAAAGAGACTAGTTTGGTTGGGGAAGCAGCCTATATTCGGACTCTACAAAGAAGGGTTTTTTGGCCCTGGTGCCAAACCTGGGAAAAAAACCAAAATCTATGCCAGAGGAGAGGGCAAAAGAGCAGTAAAAGGATGAAAATAATAGACCCGAGACAAAATTTAATGAAAAATGGAAGCAGGTCCATAAATCGTTGGTGTACGCCAGGTCGAGGAGGTGAAAATAGGTTGTACGGACTGTGCAAATTTTTACGGCGAAAAAATTAAAACCGAAAAGCGTCTTAGAAATACAAACACAAGTTTTCCTTTGATTTTGATTAATTACATTCAGTCTGACAGAATTCGTTTAGGTCTGACAGATTTTCATGGCTTGTCTTGTCAGACCGAATATCTGACACTTTTTTTTAACTTTCGGGAAGTCTGTAAGCAACACTTGTTGACGGTTACAGAGGCACTTTTAATGAGATCTTCAGTTGTATTTTTGTTAACAAACAAAACGTGTACATCGTAATAGTGAATTAAATTACAATTTACATCAATTGTTTTTACATACTTCGTCTGTTCATATAGTTTTATTTTCATATAGTTAACAGCAGGAAGTTTTTCACAACTTAATTTGCATTTTTGAGGATAAACATGATAGAATCTACCAAAGTAACCTCTTCTGAAATCATCCAAAATGGCACACAATGGAGAGTGGATAGACTTTAGAATCTGTTTTTCAGCTAATTTCAACATTATGCCATATGCTTTTACCTGATTTTTTCAATATTCCTGTTTCTCTACAAAATCACTCGGATTACTTCTAGGGTTAGTGTTAAGGATTAGGGTTAGTAATTTGGGTAAGGGTCAGGTTTAGAGGGTTAGGTTTAGGATTTTAAATCATGAATTTTCCTGCAGGCAGATTCTAAAAGTGGTCTGAAACAGTTTAAAAAAAGATTAATTGGATCATTTGAAATATATTTTTGATATTTCAATACTTACTGATAAACATTAAGAAAAACTGTAGAATCTACCATTTTATAACAGGGCTTTTTTTCCTTCGATAGTCCAGTCTGTGCGAAAGTCTGTCGGTCCTCGGACCTCGCCAACTAAAAATCAGGAGGGCCGAGATAAATTTCTATACAGTCAGTCCTCATGTCCTCATAAAATTTCAGCCTGTTTGAAAATGTTTGGCCTTCTGAAATATGCAAAACTTCCAAGATCGATCTTTTTTTTTTCATTTTTGCTTGTATTCACAGACCCAGATAACCAAAATCACCGCAAGATACAACCAGTTTTTGCTAAGTAATGTAAGCCACCATCTTGTCTTGGATAATTTCCTTACCAAAACATATTTTGTCTCCAACCTTTGAAAGATGTATCGTTTTCTTGTGAATTAAACTAAAGTTTTATATATTATGTTTTGTATATCTTTTTCATAGTATCTTATAGTTAAGTCTGATAATTCATATTTTCTAAATATTTTTGTTTATAATTATGGCAACATCCCTCTCCCACCCCTACAAAAAAATACCTTTCAGAGTCCAGGCCGGGAAAAAATCATCAGGGCCGGAAATAAATCTAAGGATCCCAGTCCTTGTGGCCGGAAAAAAATTTTGACTTTCGCATTGACTGATAGTCGGGACGGTTACAACTTACAGGGCTGCTTCCCCGAAAGGAAAATTCTTTAAAATCTTGCAGTTTTCCCCAAAAAAGTTTTTTCTTCTCATTTTGCATAATTTTCCCCCAAAATTAACGACAGGGCTGCTTCCACTACCTGTTAAAAAAGCCCTGTATCATAGAACCCTGAGTTACCGCGATATAACAGAAATCTATCCTTAAATCTTTCAAAATCAAAACACTAGAGCTACTAGGAGCAAAATGAGAAATAATTAAGCATGATGCAAGTCATAAATCTTAGGCGAATTTACATCAAAGTGGGGCGAGTCTAATTGGGCGAATCGTCAGCGGGGCGAATCGTTATCAGTTTCTGCAGCCAACTACGAATCCCTTTTAGGACTGATTTTTAGAACAAATATTTTCTGCAGTTTAAAAAAAACAGTTGAATTAAAATACTTACCTGTCAGGCATTTGTTTTACAGCATTTGACAAAGAACAGGGAAAAAGACATTTAAACTTATTTGACATTTGCAGACGACATATTTCGTCTGTGTCCAACAGGTGCTTGAAATTTGTTTTTCAGTTGATTGGCGACACAACAGATCTGTATGCGGCATAAAGTAAAGATCCTACACCAATCACGGAGTGCCACGAACATTTTGCTAGTCTGATGGAATCAAAATTTAAATGTTGTTCAAGTTTTTCCATATTTTATACTTGGCTGTCTCGTTAACGTTGATCACAAACTAGTTCACTTAGAACCAATTCACCAGCTAATCAAAACGCTCCTACTTACCAAGGGAAGTAAACTATAAGAGGTTTCAAGGTTTCAAGGTTTATTTGAATACGTCAGGGCCCATATGGGCATGTGACAACATAAAACAGTACATACATACAAAATAATACAAAATGGCAAATAATATGTAAAAACAAAATACTACAAAATGGCAAATTATAAATGGTCATACAACTCCATGATGTAATAAAATTACTGTAATAATTGACTGATAATGGAGGATGAGAGAGAAAAATCAAAAATCATTACGAGAAAAAAACAAAGAGAAAATACATAATCTAATAAGCTAACATTATTTAAATAATAACATAATATTTTTGCAAAATATGGCAAGTTTCAAAAGGATATCTTTATTACTATGGTTCATTAATTTTTCAAATTTTAAAGCACTTGGACGTTCATAGAAATATTTATCAAGATACAGCTTTCTTGTATTGACTAAATGTGAACATTCGAAAAGATAATGGAATTCGTCGCCTAAAGAGTTACTGGTACATAGGTTACAAGTTCTAAGTTCTCTTGGAATATCATCAAACCTTCCTTTTTCAATAGGAAGTTTGTGATTCATACTTCTAAATTTAAAGAGAATTAAAGCTAAATTCATAGGTAACTTGCTGAGGTATGGCTCAAAACAAAAATCCTGTTTATAAATCCTGTAATTTAGACATTTACTGGAATTATTAATTGTACTTCTCCAATTTTGCATAAAATGATCACGCAATCTTAAGTTGACAGTATTCTTGAATGAAGCAGGAGATTCCACATTTTGATTTATCCAAAAATGCGACAATCCAAGATCATTTAAATTATTTCGAACAAAACAGACCCAATCTGATTTAATATTATTCAGAGTATATAAATTATGAGTTGTTCTATATAGAATGCTGACTATCTTATCATGTTTAGAATTAACTATTTTACCCCAGTAATTGAGAACTCTACTTTTAATTTGTGTTGAAAGTGGGGTAATATCCAACTCCCTATAAATCATAGCATTTGGAGTACTCTGTTTCAACTGTAGAATTATCTTTAGGTATTTTAATTGAAATTTATCCACAACACTCACATCTTCAACACCCCAAACTTCACACCCATACAACAAAATGGGTGCTATCATTGTATCAAACAAGTGTAATTGCATATCTATTGGTAAATTAAGTATCCTAGATTTCCTAATTACAGAAAACATGGCTTTACGGGCTTGATCAATAAGGAATGTTTTAGTTCTGCTGAATTTACCATTAAATGAAAATTGGACACCTAAATATGAGAAATGCTCAACAATTTCAAGGACAGTCCCCTCATAGTGAAAGTTAGGCATATTACGCAAACCTCTCTTGGTTTTCCAAAATATAATAACTTTGGTTTTATTTGTATTTACTTCAAGATTCCAAAGCTTGCAGTAGTCAGACATAGCGTTTAATGCTAACTGAAGCTGCTGAGAGCTCTCTGACAATATTACAGTGTCATCCGCATACAATAGTAAATACAGTTTAAGATAAACTTCCATTTCATCATCACTTAACATATCATTTATATGTTCTTTTAGAAACTGCAAACCTTCATATTTATCAGACATAAAATTAGTTAGATCATTCAAGAAAAGAGAAAACAATATTGGAGATAAGTTTTCACCTTGTCTTACTCCAGTATGACTAGTGAAAAAATCTGAAATTGTATTATTCGAACTAACACATGACTTAGCTTTGTCATACATATTGTGTATTATTTTAAAGCATTTCCCATCAATATTGTAACTTAATAATTTATGCCACATGGCAGTGCGATTTACAGAATCAAAGGCCTTGCGATAATCTACAAATGCACAATACAATTTTTTTCCATGTGCTAGATATACGTCCACTAGAAGTTTTAATGAAAATATGTGATCAACAGTACTATAATGCTTCCTGAAACCTGCTTGTTCTTCACATAGAATGTTGTTTGATTCCAAGAAGTCATTTAATCTGTTATTAAGTACCGAAGTGAAAAGTTTTCCAAAGCAACTGAGTATTGTTATGCCCCTGTAATTATCCAGATCATTAATATCCCCTTTATTTTTATACAATGGTAAGATAACTCCCTTGCTCCACACATCCGGAAAGATACCAGAGTCTAATATAATGTTAAAAAATAGCGTAAGTACAGCCAGCAGATTATCAGGAGCATTTTTGAGATACTCATTAATAATATTATCAAATATAGATGGACTTTTATTATTCTTAAGCGCCTTTATAGCCTTATCTATTTCTTGCTCAGTAAATTGCGAATTCAGTGCCTCATTAAACATTGGTAAGTTGTTAACATTAAAATTATCTACGTCATTTTCATTTCTTAAAATATCTGCATTCAAATTACTGAAATGCTCATGGAAAACCTCATTAGTTATTTTATTTATTATCACTTTTTTATCAGAAGAATATTTATTTAATAAACTCCAATAAGATTTAGGATCACTATGCTTTAATCCTCTCAGTTTTTTTATGACATTGTCATTGAAACTGTTAAACTTCTTATTTAATTCTTTTTTATATCTTTTACTGTTTATCATCATAAGGTTTTTATTATCTTCGGTTTTATTTTTCCTATAGGTATTTCTGCTTAGGTAATATTCCTTTCTAAATTTCGAGCAATCTTTATCAAACCATTTTTGGTCAAGTTTGCATTTTTTTCTTTCTGTGAAATATTTTTTTTTCTTGTATTAAATTACACCTTTTAGCAGCATTAGTTATGATACTTGACAGTTTTTTCAGTCAAGGAATTAATACATTCATCATTATAATTCTTATCATTTAATATTTTAATCATTTCTTCTGTAATATTATTTGTATCGATATTATCAAACTGATTTATATAATCATCCTTCAGATTTTTATCCCATGTTGATTTAATAATGGCCTCATTGTTATCGTTTTGCAAAACTGCAGTATCTACATTACAAGTAAGATCCTTTCCAATAATATTAAAACATAATTCTATACCACAATGAACATCAGAAAATAGTGGATTAAAATCTGTCACATCAAAGTGGGTTACTTTGGGAAAGTTAATAGCAGACAATAAAACATAATCAATCAGACTAGTATTTGTAGTTGTGCATTTTCCTATATAGGCATCAGCACCACATCGACCATTAGCAATATGGACATCTGTAAATTTACAAACTTGAAGAAGTCTATTACCATAATTGTTACAGTTATGCATATCACGCGAGTAACGATCGACAGGAAATCCTAATTCAATAAGACGACTTTGTCCAATCAATTGTTTTGTACTGTTATCAAAAAACCTATCAGCAATGTACTTATTTAAGTCTGTAAAGTCAGCAAGTCTACCACTTTTTGCATTAAAATCTCCAAATATACAAAAATCACAGTCATCATAAACAGTGTTGAAATTAAGAATACTATTTTCCAATTCAACAAACAAATCTAGTGAACTATATTTAGAACTTTCTGGAGGAATATACACTACTCCAAATATGCTAGATCTGTCTTTAAATTTAAACCATAAACAGTTTTCAGTGGCGTGATCCAGAAATATTACATTTTTTATCAGAGAATTTTTTATAAAAACCCCAACACCTCCAGATCCACGTTTACAATTATCTCTATTTATAGATCTAAATGTATAACCCTCAACATTAACATTATCAAATTGGTCTAGTTTAGTTTCAACTATACAAAATATATCAAAGTCCTTAATAAAATCAATAAAGTCTGGTATCAGTAACTTGGATACTAAACCACAAACATTCAGAAAGTAGAATTTAACTATTTGAGATTCAAATGGAATGCAATAGAAGTGGTCATGATTAACTTTATATTTTACATCTACATTTTTATGGTTATTTATATCAAACACATCATTCTCATTGTTTGAAATATTATATTGATTACAAGTAGAACTGCACTTGTCCGTAACTTTGTTAATCACAGCATGGTCAGTAGAGATAAATGAACTGTCAACATCGGAACAATTTTCAACAGAAACAGAAATATCAAAGTTATTTTGACTAGTAGAAGAGTCTGTCAATGAGGAAATGGTCTCATCCTCCGACGCATCCTAGATGAGGTGCTCGAGTCCTAGTTCCTTGAGATCTGCCTCGATACTAATGTTAAACAGGTCATCCGGGGAAGAGATGATAACGTGTTTACTCTGGTAAGTACAATGAATGTTCCCATCACGAGTGTATACATTGGATGTATCATCACACTTCTTGACAATGTGAAGAAGTCTTACACGTAACTGTGTCATATCCTCGGTGATAAACACGTTCTTGTAGACGTCTGATTTCTTCAAAAGTTTCTTCAACGAGAATAGTTTATGGAGTTTTGCCCTCGACACAAAACGCACAATAATCTGGTGCTTTGACTTTGTAGGGTGGCAAGCACTAATATCATCCACTGTGAATGTATAATCATCAGAGTCAGACTGGTCAAGAGATTTTAATTTGTTAAAAAGCTCCACGGTTTGAGGGAGAAGAGGTGCCTTTTCATCGTACTTGAAATTGTGGATTCTTACGTTTTCCCGTCTTGTGTACTGCTCTAAGCGGTCTAGCTCGTATTTTCCTATACGGACGTTGGCCTTGATATGATTGATGGTTTCCTCGGAAGCACATTTGTCGATACTCGCTTGTAATTTGTCAAATTTCTCACTAAGAAGTTCATAAACAGAGTCCGCAAGCACAGATATTTCTTCTTTGGATAATTTATTTCCTTTTTTTCCACTCATAGTTGTTGTTTGAAGTTGTGGAATATGTATAAATTGAATATTTTGTATTAGAAATTTACAGCATGGTCGCTGCCAT